GATGTCCCACCCATTGATAGCACGTAGCAGTCAGCCAGCCGACATGTACTGAGCTAATCGGAAAATTAGTAGGGCTTTCAAATGCTGGCAATTCTGTGTTCAATTGCTTCTTTATTTTCCCCTTTTAAAATTATTCAAAACGACGGTCCTTCTTTTGTTTGTAGTAATTGTGAGGAGAACGTGCTCGTCTTGGGTTTTCCTGGTAAACAAATTATTATATTTATCTTTGTAAAAATATTTTTTATTTAAAAAAATATTTTTTATTTTTTAAAAAATTAATACATCAAAACAATTTAAAATACTAAAAAATCTTAATTCGAAGAAAAAACATTTCAGTTTTGCAAAAATACTTTACAACTGTAAAAATAAATGTGATTTTTGTGTCTTATTAATATTATGTTCTCGATTTATTTGGGTGCATTTTAAAAGTATATTTTTTTAAAAAAATATTAAATTAATTTTTTTGTTTTTTTATTATTTTGATATGGTGATGTAAAAAAATATAAAAAAAATACTTTAATATATTTTAAAAAATTAAAAAATATATTACACTATAATATCAATAAATAAATAAATATATATAAAAAAGATAGTTGTACTTGCCAGCAATATACAATTCAAAGCAAAACTCAAAAAATATTAAAAAAATGATATATGTTTATAGGTTGTTTTGCTAAAAACAACTCTACCTATTAGATTGTATTTTTCAAAACCAAGGCAGTATGTAGGTTGCCATGCTGAGTCCACTTTTGGGAACAGATATAGAGCTTGTACTCTTTCGTACACCGCAGCCTGTGTAGTTTTTTTATATTGTTACTAATAGTTCAATTTAATGGGATGAGCAGCAAACCGTGAACATGTGCTGTTTTAAAAATATTTTATGGGCTGTGTGTTTTTTCATTTGTTTTATATAAAATTATTTTAATTTAATATATAGAGTTATGGATTTCATGATGTAACTCAAGTTAATTTAAATGATTTTTTTATTTATATTTTATGAAGTTATTTTAATTATATTTCATAAATTATAGATTTGACAAATTAACTAAAATTTTTATATTATTTTTTTAATTTTATCATTTATCATTAATTGAAAATTAAAATTCATAATTTATTTTATTTTTATTTTTTTATAGGATTATTAAAGTCTTTTGACATTGATCATGGATTTAACAAATTAATTTGGATTGACCTAAGTTTTTTTTTCCAACACCGAATTGATTTAAATTTAAATTTTTTAATTTGTTTTGATATGTTTTAAATGGGTTTATCATAAACTTATTATTCAAGTTGTGAATTTAATAGGTTAATTCAAGTTGTCACGAGTTAATTTATTATGTTGTTATCTCAGTATTTTTTTAAAAATATCATTTTAAATTTTTTTAATTAAATGATTTTTTTATTAATTTTCTATAATATTTTTAAATATATAAAATCTGCTGGGTTACATTAAGTCAATTTTATAAGATTTAATTTTTTTTACTATAAAAAACGTTAGTAATATATATATACATTAAAAGAAATTAATTATACCCATAACGGTCCACGGTTGAACGATACATAGGCTTTCGAATTCGCCTGTGTTCAGTTATGAAATCTCAATATCAGTTGGCGCACTCATTTCATTCTTTTTTCCCCGCCACCTAGTTTATCGCCGTCCTTACAAATCATAATCATACACTCCATGAATAATCCAGACGGCCTAACTCTCCCTTTCCTGTTGAATTTATGTATGAAAAGGTAATGGCCCCAATCTTCCCCATCTTCTCAGCTACTCACTTTATTTAAAAGATATTTTTTAAACAATTTAATATTTTTTATTTTTATTTTAAATTGATTTTTTTAGTATTTTTAGATTATTTTAATGTGTTAATATTAAAAATATTTTAAAAAAAATAAAAAAAAATATTATTTTAATATATTTATAAATAAAAAACACGTTTTAAAAATAAGGGCAGCAATACTTTCATGACGCTAGAATCTACCTGTGTAAACGCCTCTCACGAGTGCTGACAAGGGTTCATCTCGTAACTGTCATAATTCCATTCTCCTAGGTGACGTTTTCTCGCAGACCAAATACACTCAATTCCATTGCAGTCAGAGCTGCGGCGGTAGTCACCCAGCAGCATTTTCAGAATTCCTCGCGGTGGGGCTCGCACATTAATTAGCCGTAGGTGGACAGAGAGGGACTGGAAGAGGGAGCGTTGCTCGGACTCGACAGAGTGGGCTCTTCATCACAACCTGGATGATGCCACCACCACGCACAGAGGGACTACACGCACCAGCTCCCCGCCTTTCGTTAATGCTAGCCAGCTACAATTTCGGCTTTAATGCGAACAGTTAGCCTTTCAATTTCTTCAAGCTTGATTGATTGAATTGTATAGTTGAGGGGTGACGAGGACAGTTTAGCATCTGGGTTTCTGAAGCTCAGACCGTTACTTAAGAAATAAGTATCTCTTTACTCGTCTCTTTAATGAATGAATCACTTTTCTTGATCAAATAATCAAGAACAGCTAGAATAGGAGCCAGTCAGTCATTGCCACGAATCTTTACAGCTATTAATATCTCTGTACTATTTCCTTGATTATAAATAAATGCAGCATCTTGAGCAATGATCACCGTATGAAAGAGGCAGCCTGATCTTTTCAACTGCTCGAATGGAGATCGATGATGGAATTGAAAAACTAGCGAAATAAATCTCTCCATGTTTTTTATTTTTATTTTAAAACACAGAATTTTATTTCTGAAATGCATTAACCTCCTTTCCATAGATAATTTTATTTCGACACATTTGCTATTTCAAATGAAAACTTCTCAATCAACCTCCTTTCCATAGATGAAAATGCCCGAAATTGGGTATGTGATATATGGGAACCTAGCCAGTTCATTTACACGCACGCATATAAAAGCTATTCCACTCATGTTTCGTGGCGGGTTGTAAATAATTTTTTACAAGAACTTGAGTATATTGGTTATTTTGATACGTTTTCTTATATAAAAAATTATAAGTATAATATCCCAATAGCTAGACTTTTATTTTATTCAATCAAGAGGTGAAGTGATAATTTCATTGTAGCCTTCGGCAATGAACCATGTCCATGACTCCAATAGAAAAACCCACGCCATATAATTTTATACTACGTAGCACCCTTAATAGTTATGCAATACTGTAGCCAAAGAAATTATATGGACACAGTTATCAAGTTAGGGCATTGAAAGAAAACATTGGGCAAGGATAGTTTAGCATTTAATGGCATGCATATATTTTTACCCGATTCTGTATACTGAGTAAGTTTGCTTATCCCTGACAGATTGAACAGATTTATTCAGAAGAAATCGCTTTATTAAAGGGCCTTTAATACCAAAACCTGATTGCTCAATAAATTTTCTAATTAATTTGGTGAGATGACAGGTATACGGGTATTGTTTGCACCATGCTATGCTATTGGAGGATACTCTTTTTTCTTTTTTTTTTCCTGATCATTAACACATCTTTCAAAATTTTGAATACTTTTTAGTGAAATATATCTCATTAACGATTTATATCAATTCTTTAGCATTTTCTGGTTATCGGGCGATAAGTAGTAATTAACTATTTATTTTATATAATTATGAACAACAGGCAACTGCCAAATAATTAAAAGTTCATTTTCACATTGTTAAAAACTAGCCATAAACGCCTTAACGGATCACTGGACCTGGTTACCTACAATACAAACTCTTATTTCCTGGTGCTTCCCATGGTAATACGTTTCAAAGCCTAGCAGCTAGGCAATGGGTTCCTGGATCATATCTTCATCACTGCCAAGTAATTAGTTGAATGAAAGCAGCTCCAAGTTGGAAGGTTTAGGAGCCAGCCCATTTGCAACATGTAGCCAGTATAGTTTAAATTGGCCTTGATGCCAGGGGAACCTTCCAAACATCAAACTTCATGTTCTTTGGATCGCAGCATTCCCATTCAGGATCAGACTTCTGATTGCTTGTCACGATACATCACGGTGACGTATGATAGCATACCATCTCCTTTCCTTTGGCAGCTCCAATTATAAAAACGCTAAATATTAATAAATAAATAAAGCAAGCACAGCATGTACAAATAATACTATATATATATATATATATTAAAACAAAAGCACACCGCAGTATAGAATGATACTCGTGCGGGGCAATCAGAAGATATGCACTCCTTGGTGGGGGTGCACCCTTCAGGAAGGGGATTCTTGCACCAAATTGGTGGCTATCACCAATCTAGGAAAAGGTGTTTACCTAAATCTGGTGTTCGTTTGCTCATGTCCATAATTTATGCCCTATAACCTCACCCCCTGAGAATTTCATGGTTGTCATATCATTAGGTAATCAAGGAGAGCATATCGAGCCGAACAATGAATTTTAGTTCCACAATCTACGCATTGTTTATGTGATAACATTAAACATCAACAATTCAAGTAAAAAGGAAATACAAAATTGCTGCTTCCCGAAACTTCTTCAAATGTCAATCAAATACACTATAACCACTCCACTACTTATTACTAATTGCATGGAATATATATCTCCAATTACATCATCAGCGGTCCTCAATTGCAGAGATTGCCGAGCCTGAATTTTGATGCATCAAACTAAATTAATCATCTCAGAAGCATATGTATTATGTACATCCGAAACACCTACAGCCAAAAAAGATAGATGTCAACTAAAGAAAAGAAAACCAAGAATCATTGCCTATGACAAAACCCATTCACAACTTCATATTTTGGGGGTTGGACTGGTTTCAACTGGGTCTCAGACTCTCAACAAGTTGTTGCAAGCAAATGACAGACAGCTGGCAGCTCCGTGTTGAAAACTGGAAGACAAGAAGTTGACCGCCATGTCTATCACTTGATTGACTTTGTAGTTCAGTGTGTGCAAAGGTGGCTTGTTTGAAATCCAAAGGCACTGCACCATTTCAACTCGGTGTCAATTGATGTAAACTGCCATTTGGTCCACAAACAGTTTGTTAACACTGTTCATAGAACAAAAGAGAGCTAGTAGACGCAAAATCATGCAAATGAACTTGAAATGAAAACAGATTTTAACCAAATGCATCGTAGAAAAATGCCCCTTGCAAATGAACTTAAAGGACTCCTGAACCTTGCAAATACATAAGCCATAGGGATCCTGAACAAACACCAACTCTTCAGTTTTATTTGAATAACTTGGATTGATGTGTAGCAATTACCTATTTCAGCAAAGTTACACAGTTTCTCCAGTTTAGTTCCGAAGATATGCCAAAGCTGATTCGAAGTACTGACTATACTATCTATAAACACAATAGCACTTGAAAGTAATGTACTTGTTGGGAGACAAGCTTTTGAAATGCGAAGTAAATGAGCAGAGGTTACCAAATAGCACATCGCAAATCTTAAACCTTTCACAAGGTCAAAAGCTACAAGATAATGAGAACGGGACTGAGTTCAGGATTCACAGGGGCTTACAAGTATAGTGACACAAAAAGCTTGAGGCAATTTTGAGGCTTCCGGAACAAAATTTCACAAGAATATCGATGATTACATAAAACTGAATTATACAGCAGCTAGAGCCATCACTCAAGCAACATTGCTCACTAAAACGACAAAAAAGTGACTAGTCATTTTCCTCAAACAGGTGTGATGTGTAGGAGTTTCTATGATTCTTGAAACAATATATTGATTCTTGTTTTAAAAAAAATACAAATTAAACAGAGATATTTATAGAAGTATAAAGAACTCAAATAGAAATGAGTACCTCTAATATGCACAAAGTATTTTGTCCCAAGGCATATGATCAATGTCCTGAGCTCCCTTCCAATCATTGATATTACCTAATTTTTGTCCTTCATCAACAGCTCTAAGTCATACACAGTGAAATCAAGAGCCTTGGGAAATTTTATTCTCCTTGATGTGATCTTCAGATACATTTTCCTTCAGTGCAGCCCTTCTTTTGGTTTGGATTTGGCGGACAAATTCCGTGACTATCACATGCAATTTAGGAGCAAGCTTACTCGGCGAAGAGACACTGAGACCTGCCTTTTTCAAGGCTCTTGTTACAAGTCTTTCAGCCTTTTGACAATGCATTGGGCAGAGGGAGGGGACAGTTGATATCAGAGCTGGTTTCCCACAAAGTACACGCCTTCCCTGTGCACTGAATATCCAGAGTACAGTAAGGATACAAATATCCAATCAGCCAAAGAAAAAGCAATATTCGCAATGAAGAAAAAGTAGTAGCAAGTCACAGGTAATGACAACATAACTCCTCTTGTAGCAATGTATTCTGAACAACACAAATGGTGCCAATATGAACATCATACTCTCTTTCATGGTGTGTGAACTTATAATAAAAGTTAAAACACAATATTAGTGTGTAGCTTAACATCAATGTCCTGAGCCAGAACCTAATAACATGTTGGTAAAATTAAACTGTTAAATGTCAAAACATCTCTCCTACAAGTGCACTCTCGGTTGACAAACATATTCATAACCGTTTAGCACACTGCCTTCCCAGTCCTTTTTTGGCTTGTGATTTCCACCTCACTAAATAAACCAAGCCATGACTTGTTTGAGGTCCTCTAAATCAATCTCCTTCCAAGAAATTGCAACAAAATCTTTTAATATGCTTGTGATATATTAAACTGCATGCATAGGAGAAGAAAGATGCAGGAATATCTTTTTAAGGAAATCTCAAAAACAGGATAGCTAATTTTTTGAAGAGCAGAGCCACCAACATTGCTTTCTCTAAGAATGATTAGACACCTAATCAAATCCATCGTTTTAAAGCAATTTTTAGCTCAGCTTTGTTCCCATAAAAGGTACAAATACCCAAAGCACATGTTCCAAGAATAATTGATCATAAAAGCTGTCCTAGACTGTCATGATCATTAATTTCTGGTTTATACTTTGCATCCTAAACTCTTAAAGAAAATAAACCAGAGACCCTTAGAAATTCTTAAATAAACAGGTCCTGCACTTTGCTTACATCGCAAAAATGCCTTTAGATTACAGCATAAGCAGATTATGGTTTTCACTTGCTTATAGAGATGCAAACTCGTGAGACAATACCTTACTGTTGTGCCCATATGAGTTCACATAAAAGGGTCATATATGACAAAAAGTCCAATTTCCAAGAGCTGAAAACTAATGGGAAAAGGGCCAGAAATTTTTCCCATGGCTTAATCAATAGCATATATATTCTATACAATTAACAGAATATGCTGCCAGTGATCTCCTTTTAATGAAAAAAAATCTTCATATCCTAGCACACAAACTTTTGCACAGGGCAGTCAATGAAAAGGTGCACAGGTTTTCAAAGAGAGTGAATGAAAATACTACTTCGAAACAACAAAATGCAAGACACTGCCTTTTTATTCTTCATTCTATAAAGCAAGACACTATTGCTATCTAGCATGGAAGATCACCAAATTAAACAAAAAAATCAACAATTTGAAAAACATCTTTAATCATCAGCCTAAGTTGACCAGCAGAATAAATTTAGTTCAAATAACCACCAATAACCCTATATGATAAGCAACACATTTATCAGTTCTGTCTCACTAAAATTCCACTTGAACACTGAAAACAAGGAAAAATATAAAGGCCACTGGATCAGAAATCATGTAAAAAAAGCACTCTCTCTTCCTGCATCGTTCGCTGACCAAGGGAAACACAAAAGAAAAAAAAAAAGGCATAGTGAAGCAAAGCATGCAGGCCGTGCAGATAGTATGTTAGTTAAGATGGGCTTTTGACTTTTTTATATTCCAAGATAACATACATACACAAATGTAGAGTTAATTTTCTTGTCATTCTAGTTTCTCAATAAATATCATGTCACTCTTATTTCTCAACAATGTTTGCATTTGTTTCTCATCCTTAACATTCCAAATAATCAAGCAAAGACTCAAAACCATCATGTGAAGCCAATTAGACATGTATTTACAGGTATTGACAAAAACAAGCATCCAGGAGATAAAAAGCATCCAGAGGAAAAGGAAATTGAAACTGATCGGACGCTTAAACCCTAATCACCTTAATCTTCGTATCATTTTCTCGTAGTTAACATTCTCTGAAGCCAGAATCCTATTCGAATCAATAAATTATCAGCTCGTACAGAATCCACAATATTTACCTCACTGTCCAACATCTTAAGTCTCAATACACAACCTAGTAAGCAACTTAAACTAGCCCAAACACAGCAAAACCGTATGAGATTCAAACAAACAAAAGCATAAATAATGAATAAATAAATAAACAATCATACCTTTTAACAACATAGGCGCAGCCTTTATAAAGCTTTTGTTTAGAATCCGATAATATATGTGTATAACAGAACGTCGTTAAAGCCATCGCTTTCGCTTTACACCCGCTAGCCGAGCATTTCCTTACCCCTTCCTCCTCTCTCTCCTCCGTCTCCACTTCATCGCCGCCATTAATCCCTAATTTCGTATTCCATTCAAAATTCTCTTTATCACTGTTAAGATCTCTCTTTCTTTTCTTGTTTTTCTCATCTTCTTTATATGGACTTTTCCCATGTATCCAGTAATACTCTTTGTGTTTGATTTTAAGCTCTTCCATTAAGGTCCAGTAATGGGCTCGGAAGATCTGAGCGAGTTGCTTTAATCGGCGAGATCGCCGAGTTAGGAGTTCTTGGTGAGTTAGGTACGCTGAAGATGAGAGAGCTGCGTCTTCATCTGCGCCGTCGATTCTGATGGGATCGGAAGGTTGTGGAGGCGGCGGCGGTGGTGAAGGGGGGTTGGCCATGGGTGAATTAGGAGTTTGCGCTTCAGCTGGAAGGAAAGACGTTTAGTAGTGTCCTCGTGTCGGTTGCGGTTTCTTTTATTCTAATTTGACAATTAGAGTACGAATGGTATTGTGTTAGATTTGGTAGTGCCGTGTGGAAAAATTATTTTACAAACAGGTCTTTTAGTTGGAGTTTATTTGATATCATTAAAATTAAATTAAAATTGTATAAAAAAAAGTTTAATATATCTGGTTAGTATTATTTTTTAAATTGAGATTATAAAATAATTTTAATAAATATATATTAATATTAATTATTTTTAATTTAAATATTGTATATTTAATTACTACTATTATATTATTAAATAAATAATATTTTATATAAAATATTTTTATTATTCAATTAAATTATTTATAATTTTATTACATATAAAATGTACCAAATAAAAATTATAATTTTTTTGATTTTTTAAATACATAATAATATCAAATAAAATATAATTATAAATAAAATTGAAATTGTGATCAAATTTTATAAATACTGGATTATTAAGTGATTTTTATTTAATTTATATAGTGTAATTTAATAATATTAAATATTTGTTTTTTAAATAAAAATAATTAAAAATAAAATATATATTTTTTATTTTATTTTATCAAATCTTACTTTATTCAATATATTTAACTTTAAATGCAGTCTAATTTAACTAGAATAATAAAAGATGATTTTATTATTCACATAAATAGTAAATTCATCTTTTATTATTCACTCTTCGTGTAAGCAGTGAAGAGCAGCTTTTTATCCCCCTATTTTACAAACACAAAATACTAATAGGATTCATAAATAATAAATAATATATATTTTTATTGTCAAACATGTAGTTTTGACGTTTTGTTTCGAACACAAATACAACCTCCTAAACAAATCTCTCTTGTTCTACTCTGGACTTTGATGGTTTCAAATTTTCAATATCGCTCTATTAATTCCGAAAAGTTACAATGTAGCTCACAATCTCGAGCAGCGAATAAAAGTTGATGAAAAGTCTATTTTTTAAAATATTTTTCCCTTTATTTTTCTATCCTAAGAACACGTGCATTTAGAATAATGTTAAAAAAATTATTTTTTTCTAAAAAAATGGGTTCATAACAAAGAATAAGTTGATTTAAATTAAATTGTCGATCTTACAATATAAATCACAAAATAAAAATAATTCAATAAAAAATTATATTTTTAAAAAACAACATCAAATGATTAAATAAAAAAATAAGTAAAAAAAATTTCAATTTATACTAATTTCCGCAACTTGTGTTATTAGGCTGAAAACATTTTATATAAAAGAACAATAAACTTAATTTCTACTTAAATAAATATTAAATTTAAAATTTTTTAGAAAATAAATACAAAACAAAACAAAATTATAAGAAGGAGAATTAAAATTGAAATAAAAAACTAAATTAAAAAGCAAGTGTAATTTTTTGATTAGATAGTAAAATTTTTAAAAATAGCAAAAAAACTTATAAAGAATAAAAAAAATAAGAATTAAATTAAAAAAAGAAGAAGCATATCACAAATTAACAAGTTAGATTTCATAGAAGGGCCGGAAGAAAAATAAAAATAAAAAGTGCTAGAAGTTAACATCTCAATAACTACGGGTATGACTCAGGATTTTTGAATAGTAAGCTTGATTTCAAGGGAAAGAGATAAAAAAATATATCACTGACATTACAACACCGTTAACCGCATACGAGGAATATCCTGACGCGCAATGCTTCTACCATGAAAGTTGGTTTTCAGTGCATGTTTAGCATGCACCGACTTTTTTTTAAAATATATTTTATATTTATAAAAAAAAATAGATTATTTTTATTTAAATTAGTTATAACTATAAAAATAATATAAAAAAAGCCATTGCAAGTTAGTTTTAAAATTATTTTTTTTCAAAAATATTTTTCTTCATAATGTGTTTTTAAATTACGAGAAGGCATATCTATCTTTATTCAACCCAACAATAACAAGCTTCAATCTCATGGAGAGAATGTATTAAACTGTCTTGATTGTCTTGCCAGACCGTAACTCTAAGTATAAACATGTTCACTCAAGAAGTATTACTCAAAATTAAAATTAAAATAACCTAAACATGAACCCCAAACTTACAAGTCCAAGCAAGATATTTTTTGAACTCAACGATCCAAGATACAACTTATCCTGTATTTTATTTAGTTATTTTTTTTATGGGAATATTTTACTTTATCTGTGCTTGAAAACAATAAAAAAGCAACAGTGCACATACCAGGCCCCTGCATTTTTCTAACTACGAGACAACAAGAACGAATTCTGTGATAAAATCTTAACCATTTGTTGGTGTTATTTTTTTGAACACACAAGTGAAATCCATAAACATTATATATTATCTGGAAAACTGGCCTGGTTAGATTATGCGTAACAACAACATTGCTATTCTATCATATTTGACTAGGTAGACGTGATTTTTTAAGGATAAATTTAACTATATATTTTTTTAAAAAATTAATTTATATAATTTACGCATCCTTGAAAATATAGTTATTGTTTTTTTATGTCAAAATATATTAAAATAATATTTTTTTATTTAAAAAAAATTATTTTTAAAAAATAACACATCAAACAATCTAAAATATATAAAAAAAATTAAAATTTTTAAAACCACGGGTTTATCATATTTTTAAACAGGCTTGAATTGCGACGTTGCTTTTAATCGATAAATTATTAACTTCAATTGTTAATTAACTATTACTGGTTTACAAGAATTAACTCTAATGTAACTCTCTTTTTTCAATCCTGTATAAAAAATTACCCATTCATTATTTTTATGAATAAGTTGGATTTTAAATAAGAATAAAATTAGTGGTTCGATAACTTTATAAGATTGAAATGGGTCAATCGATGAATTTTTTTTCTCTCGGACAGGGTGAAATTTGGAAGCACATGTATGTAGCTGTCAAAGTTAAGTGTGTAATTGGACAGAAACAGCAAACTTGACGGGGCAAACCGAAGTTTATCTTTTAAAAAACCCACTTGTCTTGAGGTAAATAATTTTTTAAAAAAAAAAAATTGCAAAAAAGTATTATCTTCTGTTCAACAAAAAGCCAACAACCAGCAACGGGGGACCTCTGATGACCGAGAGGCCTCGAGGCTGGTCTGGAGCATAGAAAAGCTAAAATGGGAAGGACACGAAGAACGGGAAGGAAGACAAGACCTTATGGTGGTGGAGTTGTTACAATAGATCTTGAGTCTGGTAAAATTTTTCTACCCATCAAAAAGTTTCTCTCCCTTTTTGCTGTACCAAGTCATGTTTATTAATTTTTATTTTTCATTTTTGTTGTTGATGTCTGTTGTTTTTCATGAATTGTATGAAAAGTTAGTGTTTTGTTGTCTGGATTATCATGGGTTTGCAATCTGTGTTCTTCTCAGCCACCCACAACACTAAAACACAAGTAAAGCTTGAAGCTTTAACTGGACTAGAACTTCAGGACTTGAAAAAAAGATAAATTAATTGAAGCTGCACATGGATTATTAGTTGAAGTTGCACCATGGGTTTTTCACCGTGGAATTGCTTGTGACCCTCAGAACTAGAAGGAACCCACAAATGATTTATTGATTCTACTGGATATGAACTATAATGTTCTTTGCTCATGGCTAGCCTTTGGAAATTCTCATGCTCACGATAGTGAGTCTTAAACCATCGAGGTATTTGTTTATCTTTCTTAACGAAGTCTTTTTTCTCGATAAATATTCTGTTTTTAGAACACTGGAAGGCTGGCCATAACTATGTCAAAAGATTGGAAGAGTTTTAACAGGCTAGTCTTATTGTTTTCTAACTAACATGATAATTTGTATATAGGATTTAGAAATTCTAGATTCTCTGCCTTTTACCAATCCATTTGCGCAAGTTTTGCGTGAGCGATGAATTGTGAAATTTGACTTGTTGTGCTTTTACAGAGGGTTGCACAGATCAACCTTCAAAACATCGCACATGTTGGAAGCATATCCAAGCTCTTATGCATGCTCGAAGAACGAGGATAACCAAACAACAAGCTGAAGAGATTGAAAGCTTTAAATTAACATCCCCATGCTTTTTACAGACAATTCCTTGCCGTGAGCGATCAAAGAAAAGATTCAAGCGCAATAATGCAGTCTCAAAACTGAAAAAAGAGCTAGATAGTGTTTCTTTCAACTGCTACATGGAGTGAGTTGGTCCTTCCTATTATGGTAAGGTAGACTGATATACAAATTTATTGACTGTGCTATCTCTCTGGAATGTGTAGAAATTTGTGGAAGAGCTTCTCAGAAGACAAGAAGATGTCCTTCGCATACCTCGACAGCTTATGGTTTACCATGTATACAGAAGCATCCTCTGGAGTGAAAGTCCTGGAATGGATCAAGAGGAAAGACATCTTTTCAAAGAAATATGTTCTTGTTCCTATTGTTCGCTGGTAGGTATTTCTGGTAGCTGGTCAACTTGATATCGTGCTTTGTGTTAGTGCATATGATTTTACTGCTTGAAATCATTCTCTTTAGGTGTCACTGGAGCCTCTTGATCTTCTGCCACTTTGGTGAGAGTTTGCTATCAGAAAACATAGCACCATGCATGTTGCTACTGGATTCACTTGAGATGGCAAATCCTAAGCGGCTTGAACCAGACATAAGAAAGTATGTGTTATGCTTTTGTGAAAACAGTTTTTTTCTTTCCGGGTTATAGTAGTCAAATATTTGTTAGCGCTCCATTTCCAGGTTTGTATGGGACATCTACGAAGTAGAGGGCAGGACTGAAAACAAGCATATGATTTCTCAGATTCCATTATTGGTGCCTAAGGTGAACTTGGCATTGGTCCTTGAAAACTTCCTATTTATATCTGCTTGGATATTCACTCACGTATGTTTTTGGAATTTTCCAGGTGCCACAACAGAGAAATGGTGTAGAATGTGGCAACTATGTCCTCAACTTTATAAATTTGTTTGTGCGAGATGCTCCCGAGAACTTTTGCATGGAGGGTTACCCTTATTTTGTAGGTTTTTCCTGTTGCTGGCACGTTTATTAAATGAAGCAAGTATCGTGTGTTTTCGTGATTGAGCGTTATTTGCTTTAAACTGCAGATGAAAGACAATTGGTTCAGTCCTGAAGGATTGGAGCACTTCTGCGAGAAACTTGAATCCCTTGAAAGCGATATCCTTTAGTTCTACAAGATCTAACAGTGATATTATCGTTTGTGTCGCTAACAACACTGATTGCTTGTATTATTCTTGGTTATATGATGAGATTAGGGGCAGACAATGATTGGTCAATCACGCAAGAGGTGTATATATTGCAGGTTCTGCTCTAGGTTCCTAACTATAAGTATTTCCTTGATGTCTTACATTTATTGTATAAAAAGCTATCATGAAGATGATCTGGTCTTGTTTTTTAAAATTAATTTTGAAAAAAATTATTTCTTTATTTTAAATTAATATATTTTTATGTTTTGACATCATTTGATGAGTTATGTGTTAGAGAATAATATAAATCATATTCTGGAACTTTACTTAATAGCTTAAGATTTTTTGTTGAGATGGTTTTTTAATATGGTATCAAAGTCTTGATGATCAAGTGGTCATGAATTCGAATTTTATTATTTTTATTTATTTGATAAAAATGAAATATAAGGTAATATGAGCCTATGTAAATTTTAAGTTCAAAGTAGAGGGGTTCAAAGTAGAGGGGGTGTGTTAAATAATAATATAAATTATATTCTGAAATTTTACTAAAGTAGAGGGGGGTGTGTTAGATAATAATATAAATTATATTCTGAAATTTTACTTAACAACTTAATCTTTTAGGTTGAAATGGTTCTGATATTAAAAAATAATTTTTAAAAAATAAAAAAATATTAATTTAATATATTTAAAAAAAATATTTTAAAAACTAATTATTATAATATTTTTAATCATATTAGTGATATTAGTGATGATAAAGGTACCAGGTTATAGATTAGTGATTACTCGGACTTGATACAGTCATTCACTGGTAGGTTTGAGGGCAGGAAAGCTCAAACCTTACCAAGCTTTCAACTTTTCTGTGATCATCCTTCTCTGGAAACAGGCCAGGCTTTGAGAAGTTCCAGAGGTCATTTCTTCCAATCCCGTATACCCATTTTCTGTTTTTGCTGCAGAAGAATGTAGTTTTCTTGCAAACTTGAAGTCTGAGCTGCGTTTCTCATAGCACTGGTTGTTCAGCTTTTGAAGAAAAAGAATGGAGCGCGGTATGTTAAATTCGATAGTATCCTTTTTCTCTATACGACGGTGAAGTTGAACGGTAGTTTCCCCTCCCCTTGTCGGGAAAAAAAAAAGGAAAAATAAAAACAAGAGGTCTCTCCCTATATAGTATATATACGTGTGTTAAAGATGTATTTTTCTAAAATTTTGACGGTCATGTATTCTCGAGTCGGGTTCGGTGTATAGAAATCAAAGCAAGTCTCTCTCGCGCTAGGGTTTACACAACCCAACCTGTATGCATCCTTCATTTAAATTTAACTCGAAATAGTAAATGAGAAATAAATTTATTTACCATCCAAATTAGAAATTACCAAACACTCTGAAAATTAAAATCAATTCACAAGCAAAGATCTGAATTTAATTCATGAAAAAGGAATATCACACCAACAAAGAAATAGTACAACAAGCATAATGCATGGTTATGGCGGGTTTAAAGTGTATCTGAGAACATGGTTTAAATTACATTCTTGAAAATTTTGATTTTTTTATATTTTTAAATTATTTTATAATATTAATATTAAAAATAATTATTTTATTTAAATATATATTTAAATAAAAAATACTTTAAACCGCTATTATTAACTCAATACTAAATCCTAAACATACAGGTATTGCAGCCTCTGATTTATCTCCCGTCCACTCACGATCCGTACAGGTTTTTCTGCTCGTGCCTTGCTTCAAGCGAAGTTCAATCTTGAAATTGAAAGTATCCAGTCTTGAAGATAGATTTGAAGAGCAAGATTGCTCATGGGACTGGGAAGCTAATAACATGCAGCACGGGTAGATGAGACGGCGAGGGTTAGAAGAAGATAAGGAAAGAGACTGTGAAGGATTTTGTAAAAAATAGAGTGTGTTGATAAGGGTATTTTAAAAATGTTAATTTTCATATCAATGCAAATGAAAATTACTATAGTAAATCAGAGGGTATTTGCTTTTATATATTTTTTAGAATTTAATTTTTATTTGGAATTTAAATCTATATCTTCAATAAGATTTAAAATACAAAAAATTTAGGTATTGTAGCTTGCTTTTTTGGCACACTTGAATAAATTTAGGGGTAGAACTATGAGTGGTGATAAAAACAAAATAAACAAATATGGATGACATGCCCTTTTCTATCATTTTTCCCCTTTATTGTCCCCTGTTTTTTTTCTTGTTAGTCCAAAAAAAATAGATTATATTCATTTACTTTGTTATTTTTTACATGGTTTTAAACACAATTATAAATTTTTATTTCAATTTTAATAATTCTAGTTTCAATTATTACATATATGACATGAAAATAATAATATTAATAATAATTTTTTCATAAAAATTAAATTAAAATAATTTTTAAATTTTTAAATAAATTATAAATATAATTTTATCACATTTATCATCTTGTTATATTTTAATCAGGCATGAAATTTGAATATGTTATTTGATATGTTTTATCAACTAAATGTAATAATTATATAATATCTTTTCACTAAAAATAATAATTGGAGTTAAAAATTTTATTTTTATTAAGATAAATAAAAGACATGTTAATAAAAATAATTCTATATTAAAAGATTTTCTTTTCTTTTTAAAATCACTAATTTAATAACAATGATAAAAAAATCTTCATATACCTTGGATTTTTTTACATTAAAAAAATTACTGAACCCCCACACCAGCGGACATTCAAACTAGTGTTGCCTAAATAAAACTTTCACGATAACCTAAAAAAATAATAGATAGAGACATTTGACGACAAATTGGATGATGAACAACGTCCATCCACCCAAACCCTCAGGCCCAGAAGCACATACGGACCCACACAACCCTCCAAAACCATAACGGCCACAAACTAGCCATCCTTTCAGAAAGCTGAAGCTCGAACGATTTAATAATTTTATTCCCTGAACAAAAGAAAAAAGAAAAAGAGTACCATAACACAGAGACAGAGATGCTAAGCAGGACAGTTGTTTCAGTGTCTGCTGTTTCTTCTTCATCTTCAACATCTCCATCTCGAATCTTGTGCAAAGTAAACCCGACAATCCCTAAATTCTTGGGTCTGAAAGGACTCTCTCATAATTTCACAAACTGTACCACATGGAACAAAAATTTGAACTTGAGTAGAAAGTGCAATACAAGAATGGAGAATTTCACGACCAGAGCATCAGCAGCAGCTCAGCCTTTAAAGAACGCAGACGAGCTCATTGACTCTGTTGAGACTTTCATCTTTGATTGCGATGGTCAGTGTCTCTCGCTCTCTTTTAAGTTTCTTTTCAATTCATTTCTTGAATGAAAAAAGAAGTTCTTTTCTCTTTTCATGTACTAATGAAGGGGAGAATCATTTGCAGGAGTTATATGGAAAGGAGATAAATTGATCGATGGCGTCCCTCAAACTCTTGATATGCTCCGTTCAAGGGTTTGTATTTAGTTTATGTGATACTGCATTTTTCTTCTTCTTTTCTCGTGCTGTTAGTGTTTATTTTCTTTTGTAAGATTGTGGGTTTTCTCTGTTGGTTTCAGGGGAAGAGACTAGTTTTGGTTACAAACAACTCAACAAAGTCTAGGAAACAATATGGTAAAAAGTTCGAGACACTTGGTCTTGATGTCAGCGAGGTTAGTAAGTCACAACCCTTTCTTTTCTATTCTTTTGTTTTGTTTCAGCAACTTTTTTATATCCATCCCATTGTTTCAGGAAGAAATTTTCGCATCATCCTTTGCAGCTGCGGCCTATTTGAAGTCAATTGATTTCCCAAAAGATAAAAAGGTTTTTTGTTTATGAATTTCTTAGAATGAGGTTTTGAGGTTTTGTTATAATTGTGTGGTTACAGTTGTTAGGATTACGAGATGTAGTGTTTGATAGTGGACTGATATCCGGGCATGATTTTTAGGTTTACGTGGTTGGTGAGGATGGCATCTTGAAGGAGCTCGAGCTTGCTGGATTTCAGTATCTTGGTGGGCCAGTATGTATGAGTTCCAATTTGCATTATATCTCACCTCATCTTTTATACATGCTTTGAAATATTCAGCTTTTAGATGATAGTATGATACCAGAAATTGCCACGAGTGATTCAATATTCAGCTTTGAAATATTCAACTAGCAATGATATATGTTTCTGCTAATGCCATTTTTCTAGCTTACTGACTGGTAGCAGTAGCTTTTTGGATTAATATGTTATTTCTACTTTGTACTGTTCACTTATACAGGAAGATGGTGGAAAAAAGATAGAGCTGAAGCCTGGGTTTCTAATGGAGCACGACAAGGATGTAAATTTCTCTTCTTTTTTCTTTTCCTTTCAATAGAGCGTTCCTTGACAGGCAACTTAAGTTGGATATCCCTAGGTTTTGTTTTGTTACAGTTGCAATCGAGGAGCCAAAGTAGCGTCCTTTCCCAAAATTTAGGCTTGCTAAAGGTGTTTCTTCATTGCTTCTAGGTTGGGGCAGTTGTTGTTGGATTTGATCGCTATTTCAACTACTACAAAGTCCAGTATGGAACACTCTGTATAAGGGAAAATCCTGGATGTCTCTTCATTGCTACAAATCGTGATGCAGTCACCCATCTTACAGATGCTCAGGAGTGGGCAGGTTCTCATCTCCCCTTCATCACAATTTATGTGTCATTGTTTTCTAATCGTGTTAAGGGTATATAGGTTGTGATGCATGATGTATAGAAAATGAAATATGTAATGATCTCCAATATTCAGCTTGATGCCAATTTCAAATGAAAACTGTGGCATCAGAAGACTTGTACAACCTTGGCCTTTTGAAGAGCTACATATCAGCAATGAGTAAACTAATGGAGGTGTCTGTCATCCTTCCAAACATTAACTTGCGTGTTCTGATGACATGAAGTTCAAATCAGTTCTATCTATGCGATTTCAGCATCAATGAGATACGATAACATGATTATTGAGGACTTTGAGTACATGGACTGAAACATAGGTGAAAGCTGTCCCTTTGTACGGGCAGCTTGAAGGTTCAAATGTATGCAAATGTGGTTATTAAGTGAGTGTTATGTGATAACAGCTCTATTGCAACACATGTAGAAATATGAGATAGTATAGGAATAGCGAGAAACAGTTGGGATTAGACTTCCAGATACCTGTTCCCACTTTGGGATTATGGTTTAAATTACACATGCAAGGCACTGGTCCAAGCAACAACTGTTGCACCAATCTATTTTGGAGGTTTACATTATGATAATTCCTTGCATCCTCCTTTCGGGTAAGACTAACTTGTTCAGATCAAACCTGTCACCATGTTATGTTTATTTATGTTCCTCGCATGTTTTTCCAGAATCCATTATAACGTGTGCTTAATATATAATTTCAGGCGGTGGTTCTATGGTCGGCGCTTTCATTGGTTCAACTCAGCGTGAGCCACTAGTTGTGGGAAAGCCCTCAACTTTTATGATGGATTACTTAGCCAACAAGTACGGCTTCCAATACTTTAATTTTTCTTTTATTCTCCACTCTCTTTGAATTGAGAAAATTCAGGATGAGAAATGCATGATTTGCAGACAGCTCAAACACTGCCTAAGCATTCTCTGCATCAATTTGTCAAATTATAGGATTCCATGTCCACCAACCACCATGTATTTGAATTCATATTATTCATGGTCAAGCAAGTATTGTTTGGTCAGCAAGTTTGTAATCTAGGATTTACCTCAAACCACCCCATCGTTTCACCAAATGAGCTTTACCGATCATACATGTATGGAGTGCCATCTCGTGCATGCTATTACTGTTGTGTTGCTATTAAGGTTGGTCTTGCACAAGTATAGGAAATTCCATTCTAACAGGTGGTTGCTTTTCTTTATCAATAGCAGAGAAAAAAATATGACTTCTAACTTCCACATAAACACACTATTGTGGTCAAGTTTTCCTCACCTTTGCATGCTATTTAATTTTATTTGATCAACAGATTCGGGATTCTCAAGTCACAGATATGCATGGTTGGGGACAGATTGGATACTGATATTCTGTTTGGACAAAATGGTGGTTGCAAAACTCTTCTCGTTCTCTCTGGTAACTAATTAATGCAGATTTTCCTCTCCTAACTTTTTCCTGTACATTATATGCACTCTAATCGAGGATTTTCTTCCAAAAAGGTGTGACCTCATTGTCAATGCTTCAAAGTCCAGGCAACTCCATCCAACCAGATTTCTACACCAACAAAATTTCTGATTTTCTTTCCCTCAAAGCTGCAGCTGTATGAGCATGCAAGGACATTGTGTGCCACGATTAGGTCCATCTCTTATTTTTTTCAATTATAATTGCAGATATACATTCCTGTATTTATGCCTTCAAAATCTAGAAGAAGAGATGTTGCGATTTATAGAAATCAGCAAGATGGAAACTTGTTTCACTTTTATTTATATTCTTCTCAAGCTCTACTTGAAATTTATTTCTAAGGAGTTCCATTCCTGTTTCGTGTCCTTGGGGAGATAAAGGGAATGGTGCGGCAACATTAACAGCCGTAGCTGTTAAAATCTGCGGCTGTATTAACCAGATAGATTTGACGAAAGTAGCTAAATTTAGATATGTATTGTCCTAGGGAGCAGACACTGAAGTAACGCACACCATTTTTCTTACAGTGTTTACATAAAGTTGCAACCTGACAAAAAGGGTACTTTTCTTTCACGAGACATCCTTCTGTTTTAACCTTTGTGTCTGCTCTGCGGTTTCTTTGTGCATCTTGTGTTGTTTTTTTCATTGTTTCCGTGTTGTTCAACCAGTCTCGATGATGCTAAGGCATACCACAAGCTTTGGCAATTTAATTCTGGTAAAATCTTTAGCCCCACCAATCGTTTGTTGGAGTGTCTTGTCAAAAGTGTGCAGATCTCTCTCTCTCTCTTTTAATTGTCAAACTAAAAAGATAAAAGACTTGAGTGTTCTTTCCCTTTTAAACCACTAGGTAGCTTATGTGAGGTGATCATGAAATCATGGCCGTGAGTTTCTCTTCTATGTTCTGTTTTTATCAAAATATAGAAATTTGATGGTCGGATTAAAACTGCTCACAGCTGACTGCCCTAACGTTAATTGATCTAATGCACTTTGAATATGGATGTGCTTTAGGTGAGGTGAGACTGGCTAATCACCCAACCACCTACAGTAACAATGGCATCAATGAGATCTTTTGTCTTTCTTCTCTGGTCAAATGCTCGTCGCATCTTGTTGATTAGAGATATAAAGAAACTGCAGTTAACACTCTGGATCCATCAGAGTCTTGCTTGTGAAAAAAAAAAACATCCCTTTCTTGAGTTCCCTGTGCTTCTGAAAATGCCCTGCAATAGGAGTCCAAGAACATACAAATACAATCTCTCAAGAATTCAGGGATCTGTGTGCTTCATTGATTATCAACGCAGACACGGAACCCATTAGCATTTATATACCTTAATGCCCACGCAATTGCCTTGTAGAGTTATTAACTCCTCGAACGTCAACTTTATTCTGTAAATGAAGCTTAATTAATATGGATTTGGAGGCAATAAGATCATGTGCCGGCGTCATTAATTAGGAAGGATTTAATGCACGGTATCCACACAGCCACCGATCGGATTCAAGTCGATTACTTTTCCAGCTCCTACGGAATGAATAGTGAGCTGAATCTCTAAATTCCTATGGAATGAGATACCTTTCACCGCATATGAGGAATGATAGTTGATTCCCTTCAAGGGAGATTTTTTCTGGAATATCTTGTTTTTGATTGAAGCTGAGAATTGGACGGGTAAAGGCTGGTTCTCAAAAAAAATAAAAATAAAAAATATCAACTTGTTTATCAATTTACATACATAATCTATTTCCCAAGTTTTCTTTTCAAAAATGTTTTTTAATTAAGAATATATTAACAAATATTTTTTTTAATTTTTAACATTAATATATTAAAATTAAAAAAACATTAAAAAATTAATATTTTTCTTGCATGCATGGTTGTAATTTGTAAACACTATACAAAACTAGGGTTAAACTATTCTAATTTCAAATGTTTTTTTTTTATGAATGCAATTTAAGATATTTGTTTCCAACTTATTAATCATGCTCCGAATCCAAAGTATTATTAATAAAAAAATAAAAAATCAACAAGCTTTTTTCTTGGAAAGAAAATAACCTTTAATAAAAACAGTAAATAAAATAATACTAATTAAGGAAAGAAGAAGGAACCGGGAGCCGTAGACAGTAGAGAGCCTTGAGAGCGGAGAAGCGGCGAGTGACGGTTACATTTCACCATTATCTTCTTTTCACTATTCTATATAATAGCGTAACATAAATAAGACAACATCAATAATAAAAATTCTACTTCCGTCTCTCTCTCTTTCAGCTATCATCAAACCAAACAGAGAGACAAAACTAAACTCTTTACTTTGCTTTTCATGATAAATTTATAAATTATGGTTTCTGAATTCTGATCTACCGAAGGCAGATTTCTCTTCCTCTCTCCTTCACATTCGCCGTTTTCATTTCTGCAAGATCCAACTCACTCAAGGTATGCTGCGGGGTTTTTTTTTAAAAAATTTTTTTGAGTGAAAATGTAATTTTTGATTATTTTGTTATGACAGGAGAAGACATGATAGAATGCAGTGAATGCCACTCGAAAATCTCAGCAAATAATAATAACAGTAAAGCAGTAGCGAGAGCATACGATAGACATAGAAGCGATGTGTCGTCTAAAGCACGCGTTCTTAATCTTCTTTTGGTCGGTGGTGATTGCATCTTTGTCGGTCTCCAGGTGATTTGCTTTTCTTTCTTTCCTTTTTTTTTAAGAAAAAACAACTTATTGAATTGATGCTTAAGATTTTTTGTTTTTGTTATTGTTATGTCGCAGCCTATATTGGTGTATATTTCAAAGCATAATGGGAATTTCGAGTATAGTCCTATAAGTGTTAATTTCCTCACCGAGACTGCAAAAGTTTTTTTTGCAATCTTCATGCTCTTGATCCAGGTATTATCTTTTTCTTCATTCGTTCTGTCAATGCCACTGAATTCCTTCTTTTTTTTTTGTGGGTTTTGGCACCCCCTCCCTTTTCTTTTTAAATAAATTTTACAGCATAACAGAGATTGTTGCCATAAATTGTTATATCCGATGTATGGGGTCGAACAGGAAAGAGTGAGACATCGAAGACTGCTTAGAAAAAATAGTGCGAGGAGAGAAGACTGCTTAGAAGTTATTTGCAAATGATGGTGAAAATGAATAAAGTGGTGAAATTTACTGTTGTTGCCATATCCTAGTCCGGGGAGGAATAATTTACATCTTGCTCAAATGCTACCTTTACTCGCTATAATATAGTTCAATCTAGCTTTTCTTTTAATTCACTATGAAGTCCACCGAACTTTGGTGCAAAATGCAGGTAACCATTATCCTCTCTGTCTCTGGGTGTAAGAGGGGATTGATTTTAGGTCTCTTTAGCATGATACTGAATGAGTTTACTGTTTACTAGCTAAGCTAGCTTTTTGCTACTAAGGTATTTCAATGTAGTGGAAATGATTTTTGTATATTGAAGGTTTCTCAAGTAGGTCACAATTACTTGACCCCGTATATTGCATGATTCCATAATCTTGTACTAAAACTCTGTGCAGATTTTTTTGTATATTGAAGGTTTCATTTATTTGCTGTGATAAGAGGAAAATGTATTGAAAACGGTGTCAAAAGAGGGACACCACGTAAAGAATGAAGTATACACTAAAGGAAGTTAATGCCTAGCTACTTGTAATTTAGCTCATCTGCTAACTGTCTAGCAATCAACCATTTTTGTGAGAGTTTTCTTTTTACATCTAAGAATGGAACTTGAAGCGGCGTTACACCTTATGAGGATAAGAAAAATATGATGGGATAAAGAAATTTTGTTGGCATGGATGAATCTATGTTGTTTAGATCATATGATATCATACATGAGAAATGCTACGTTTTCCATTATTGACATAATCCCAAAAAAAATCAGGCTCCTTTGGAAGTTGTTTTCAAATTGCAATCAGAGTTTTATTACAAGAAACTAGGATACTTTTGAATAAAACTGCTTCTCTAGCATTATTAATAAGGTACCTTTTCCTATATCAGTCATATCCCTAATTACTGTTTTACCTTAAAAAAATCATTGATAATGTGGCTCTTCCCATTCCTCCAATGTGTCAGCTCTTTAAGCGTGGTTTTTCTTATAGTCTTAGTTAATGTTTCCTGGTGTACTCAACATTGCGTTCAGCTAGGTTGATTTACCCAGACAGTTGGAAACATCATTGTAGTGAGAAACATGTCAATGGAAGTGTCCTAGACTTTCTTGTGAGTTGTGGTTGCGGATTTGTCTTTTATGTTATTTTCTTTTTTTTGTAAATGTTCATTAGGTCTTCTCTTTGTTTTTATTTTTCTTGATTTTTGTTTCCTCAGGCTCGGCATAAAAAAGTTGGGGAGAAATCTCTTCTTTCTTTCTCTACCTTTGTCCAGGTAAGTGGCTTACTTTAGTATTTATCAGGATTGCAATTTGGATTGATGTATATTGTGAGTGATATTGATAGCTTTTCCCTGTCTAGTTTGCTTTCTGATATGGAATTACATTGACTTTATCATTATTATTCTTGTACGTATAAAATAACTCATTATTAGTTCTTGGAAACTTGGAAAAGCTGTTACATATATTTTTTTTTCAACATTCCAAAGATTCCTTTGGCCTTATGGATGCTCTGTATCACACATCAGTTTGAAAAGTGGTGCATTGCATGTTGCCTCTTCTATTGATTTTTACCTGTTCACAAATAGTATACCGTAGACCTGCTGAATGGCCAAAAATAATGCTTTTTGTGATCAATATGGTTTGTTCTGATTTCAAAAGCACGTCATTTTTGCTAATAAGTAATATTAATTTGACCTTTTTTTTCTACTACTTCGAAGGAAAAAAGTGTCAACTTTCATGATTCGTGCTATAAAAATCTTTGTCTATGGAGCTAAAGGAAATGAGACAAAATTGAATGTAATCGTGCATGTTCTGGTTGAGAACCCTGTATGCTCTGGGGGTATATGTGGTTATTCTTAAAAGAAAACTCTAAATCATTTGTGAGTTCAGAGGGTGTTTCTTAGTTGCATTTCTCCATACCTTTCTGGAGAGTTTAAGATTCTTCCACATGTTATATCTGAATGCAATAATGTGGTTCAAAGACTATTTTCTTGGTTTTGCGGTTTACCTTGCGCCCATCTTTTATAACAGAATGTTGAGGCTCTTCTATTGCCATTTGTATCTCATGTACCTTTTCCTTGTCTGGTCATTGTCTGCCATTTTGCCTAAACCATATTGATTTTTTGACTTAAATCCCCTGAAGTTTGCTGGTTTCATATGTCTCTTTTCTGTGCACATTTTTCATATTTATATCTTTCATTCATGACTTTCCAAGTGCTATATTGCTTGGGCAGGATTAGACTTTCTGAACTTTAAGATGCTGTATTTATTTTCTTCTTCCTGCAGGCTGCTCGAAACAATGTGCTTCTTGCTGTTCCAGCTTTCCTATATGCTATTAACAATTATTTGAAGTTTATTATGCAGGTATCATTTTTCTTGTCGAACCAACTGCAAAATATTCTTTACATAATATATCGTGATCATCTTTCTCTGGACTGTGGGAAGAGAGAAGTGCTTTGTTTTTTCTTTCAGTAGAAGTGCAACTTTTTGAACCTATAATTTGTTTATAATATATTTTTGGGATTAAATTGTTGTGGGAGTTCTAATTTCTAATTTCCCTACTTATTGTTGTGCAGCTTTACTTTAATCCAGCAACGGTGAAGATGCTGAGCAACCTGAAGGTAGCTCATTGCATGATGTGTATAAAGGACATTTCAAATTGTGATATTTATTTTTATATAAAATATCTATAGTTTATGCTTAATGAAGTACATACATAATTAATAATGTGCTTTCAACTATCTTTCGGGTTCATGATCAATTATTTTCCCGCTCACTTACAGTGTAGAATTCTTGTTTGCGCATTTAAGACTCTATCTACTATTTAATATTCCAATGAATATGTAGACTTCTTCAGTGTCTGTTCATTTGACTGTGACACATGTGTCTATAAAATAGGATTTGAAAGTTGAAGATGGAGGGTAAAACTGCCTCTATCTATAGCCTGACTTTGTTCCCATCTTTTCATGCAAGGATAATATGATCAACGCACTGTCTTTTTTGCTGCTTTTTCTTGAGCATTATTTAACATTAAGTCTTCCATTGTGGATTATAAACATGTCAGGTTTTGGTGATTGCTGTGTTGTTGAAGGTGATCATGAAACGGCGATTTTCAATCATTCAGGTGAGTATGAAAGTTGTTTCTCATTGATGCATGTCAACTTCAATTCTGAAATTGAAGAAGAATAGTTGGTTGGATAGTTGGATGCCCAGAAAGCATGTGCCAAACTAGTATTTTTTTTTTACCTATACCTGTAATATTGATTCGTCTTTTTTTTTTTGGCAGTGGGAAGCTCTTGCTCTATTGCTCATTGGGATTAGTTTGAATCAGTTACAATCTCTGCCTGCAGGCTCCACTGCAATGGGTCTTTCAGTTGCAACGGGGGCATACTTGTACACACTAATTTTTGTATGTATCCTGTATACCTGTCCTGCGTTAATATGCATAGATTTTGTTCCTGTCAGTTATTAGATATCATGCAATTATCTTCTTTCTTGATGGTAAAAAGTGTTTTCAATGGTGGAATTGCTGGAATGTCAAGGCACAAAGAATTAGATGCATGTCATGCACTTGACCGGATGGAAGCTCGCATTGGATATGCATTCTTTCATCTTTAACAGGGAAGGAAAATTTGTCATGAAAGAACAGACGAAATAGAGATAAACGAACAACATGCACCAGACACACTCATGCACACATATATGCATACATATATCCAGGGCCATGGCAGGAAATTTACTTTATCGAGGAGGCTGTAAAAATATGTGTATCCTTTAGACTCACATACACGTGCTGGAAAAAGTTTTTCTTGGTGAGCATCTATGGAATACTGTTTTTTTTTTTAAAAAAAATAAAGGATTAAGAGAAATTTAATTTGTAGGACTGAAAATATGTCATGAAATGCTATGGTTATAAGAATGCTTTCAGAAATATAGCTCTAATGACAGAAGCTGGAGATTGGCCCTCTTCTCTCCTACCTTGGTTCCTTGACCAAGCAGGTTCTCATAAACACATAGGCTCATCCTTCCATTGGCTGATAAGACAGCCCCAACAAGGAAAAAAAGGTCAACACCTGCTGGGCCCGACTACACATTCCCATGTATTGCCTTCTAAATGCCCTTGCCTTCCCCTATAATATCTTGTATATACACTGGGGTGGTAAATTTTTAAGGAGGAGGACTAGCTATAAAATTTCCCATGCGATGTCATTCAGTGTGTTTGCATATACTTGGTCCACCTTTTTCCCAAACCAGCAGCATAGCCAGTGCCTGTTGCAGTTTGGTTGGCATTGGTCTCATATTGGTTTTGACAATAACATATCAGGTTGTTCTAGACAATGTAATATCGTAGGAGCTAACTTCTGGAATTAATGCAGGTTACTGTTCCATCATTCGCTTCAGTCTACAATGAGTATGCTTTGAAGAGTCAATTTGAGACTAGCATATACCTTCAGGTGGTTTCTAGTGCTATAGAATATGATGCTTATTGCTTTTTGGCTATGTTGTTTATTGACCTTTAATTTAAATTTATTATACAATGGTATCCTCATGGATTGCTTCCTTCTCAGGCAAACCTGAGAGTCAATAGTGGGGTCCGTTGCAGGACCTCTTGGCTAATTCCACCACCAGATGCTCCTATACAGAAACTCACTATTTTAGAAAATTAATGCTTAGTATGCCTTCTTTTTGAAAGATTATTTTATACATTTTCTTACAAGAAAGTTTGTGCTCCATGGCTTTCAGAACCTTTTCCTGTATGGGTATGGTGCCATATTCAACTTCCTAGCCATTCTTGTGACTGCCCTACTTAAAGGTATGGGCATGCTGCATGTTGTTCTTGAATGTGTTCTAACAGGGTATTCCATTAGCTCTGTTGGGTTTTTTATGTATTGGATTTGAGTCGTTAATAGTATAGCGCAAGCATTGAGGATTAATGAATCAGAAATGCTACTTCATGGTTGTAAAAGTATATGTAAATTTGATTTTTTGCTTAAATTTCCATATCTTTACAAGTTTAGGTCCAAGTACCTTGGATATACTACATGGGCATTCAAAAGCTACCATGCTGTTGATATGTAATAATGCAGCACAAGGGATTTTATCTTCTTTCTTCTTCAAATATGCAGGTGATTTTCCATTTTGGTCTTTAATATTCTTCATTCTTACGCATCACTATCTTTCAGCTGTTTCCTGGATGTCTATAATTTTCACTATTGAAAAGCCGGTGACCTGTGATTTACTAAAAGAGAAAAGTTGTCGGTATACACATCTAGTTCATTCATTTCAATTAGATAATCTTTGGAAGGGCTTAAGAACAGAGCTAATGGTATTATACTATTCTTCTTTTCCTTTTGTCTGGTTAAAATCTAAGGCGGCTGTTTTCTGATGATTAAGGATAAGTAGGCTTCATACTTCACACTTAATTTTCATACAAAAACTCCCAATCCTTTAGATGTCATTGAGTGCGCTACTTCATGTTATTAAAAGTTTTGATTGACAAAAGTAGTTGGATGTAAGATGTCTTGACATTTAGAAAATTGTGGAGAATCAGAAATGAAGAATTTACTTAGAAGATTTAGCACTTGGAAAATTCACATATCTTTTAATGCTCGTACTTGGAGTCATGCCAGTTTCTGTCACTAATCAAACACAAAGATGATGTTCAAGTATTAATATATGAATAGGCTCTCATTACATCCTAACATTTCTTGTTCACAAATAGTGGAAATTGAAACGAGAGACTAGAAGAATTTATGAAAGTAACTAAGAGAGTACTTTCTAGACTCAAATCACTTATCTCAAGAACTGGTGTCAATCGCATTTATGTTCTGTATTTTCTAAATCAAAATTTCCTCTGATTCATGCAGATACAATTTTGAAAAAGTACTCGTCAACAGTAGCAACAATTTTTACTGGAATAGCATCTGCTGTGCTTTTTGGTCATACCCTGACTATGAATTTTATCTTAGGAATCTCTATCGTGTTTATCTCCATGCACCAGGTAAATATTAGATCTGGCATATATTTCATTTATTTTGCTCACTGGACAGGCAGCTTGGGGGAGGAGACAGGAAGGAGAGGGAGAGAATAGGGTGAGGGAGAGGGAATATTTACCTGTCTGGATACTTGGCTTACATGATACTGTTTATCATGTCTTTTTCAGTTCTTTTCACCACTTTCAAAGGTTAAGGATGAACCACAAAATGGTAGTTCGGAAACGGGCGATAGTCAGAACAACCAGAGGTTGGTTCTTTCTCTTTTTGCACCCTTTTCATTTACCATTTGTGAATTATTCTATAATTTTCAGGGACAGTACTTCTCTGAACTCCCAGTATTAATACTTTTTCTCCCAAAAAAAATAAAATAGTCTTCCTACACTATTCTGGAATGGTGGGGAATTCCAGGAGAGCATAGACACATTTGTCTTTTTAGTAGAGGCACTCCAAATCCATATTTTTCGAGCTCATTTTTTGTGACCTTGAGGCATTGGGCTCCTTAGGATCAGAATATTATTCGGGAGAAAGAATGCCTGAATTTAGACATTGTATTTTGATTGCTTTGAATTGGACTATAAAAAGTCCATCTTGCCTTCTGGTTGGGTTATCATGCTCCACGTAGTTGAAACTATCTCATCTATTTGAGCACAAGCATGTGGACTGTTTGATATAACAATGAAGGAAATGCTCAGGACTAAGAATACAATGGTAGATTATTAATGTGCAGTGGATGTTTGAAAGTCAATTTCCAATTTGCAAGGCATGAAGGTGTTATGCCTTGCTATGGTAAAGAAAGTTTTCCATCAGTTTCCATGACCACAGAACCATGTCTTTTCTATTAGTCAACCTTATTCCTGCTCATTTTCTTGTTAATCTTGCTTGTGGATCCCATATCACAGCTTTTGCCATTCCATGTCACTTTGAATTTTTCCACTGCGGAGGACACTAGCATTCATATCGTCTGCTTAACCTCTCTTCCTTGTGAGACGTTTCTTTTATGTTCTTAACCAATAAAGTTTTGAGCTGCTTTCAACCATGTCTGATTTTTTAGTTGACATTTTTACTGAAATTCTGTTTGACATGCCAGATCTAAGGATTCATCCTTCATAAATATGGCAGCTGGAGCAAATGACGATGTGAGAAGTTTCATGTTCAATTCTGTTAAAATAGTCTTTCTGAGATTTCGATTGATGAATGTAACATCTTGTTTTGCTATTTTCCATCCAGGCTAGTCATCGTGTTGAACATGATGAGAAGGCACCACTACTTCCCATCTAGAGTTTGCAGTGGGTATGGATCCGCACAATTGTTTTCTGATGCTGTAGCTAACAACTAGTAGACTTATCTTCCCTCCACGAAGACAAGGCTCCCGTAACTATTAATATTGCATGGATGCACAGATGATCTGCCAATATATGAAATTCCCTGACTCTGTTCGTTTGATCCAGCTGGCAACTACAAGAGCCAGGGACCTTAGATGTGCTGTTTTCCCTTGGGAAAGTAGGTATAGAAGAATTAAATGAACCTGTGCACAAAATAAACAACACGTGGTGCCTTGCACTAATAAAAGAACAATTCATCAAGTTGTTCTATTAGGTTGTCTACCTGAGTTTATTTATTTATTTATTCTGCGACTAGAGCTTGGGACCTCAGATGTGCTGTTTTCCCTTGGGAAAGGAGGTATATAAGAATCAAATGAACCTGTGCACAAAATAAACAACAAGCGGTGCCTTGCACCAATAGAAGAACAATTCATGAAGTTGTTCTATTAGGTTGTCTACCTGAGTTTATTAATTTATTCTGTATTGGGTTTTGACTGTCAAATTAGAAGAACATCAAATCAAGAACGTGAAGAATCTCATGAAAATTATTAGCCATAGCTGAGGAACACAACATTACAAATGAAAGCACAAAATTAGTGACAAATTCCAAATAAGTAGCAGGACGAGTAACCCCAAAATTTGCCACTTGTTACCATTTCACGGACTTCTTTTTGCCAAGCCCAGATGACTGATTGTTTGATTTGTGCATGAAATATTCCCATTCTATTTATTTACTTCACCCCTTTCCATGATAACTCGATGCAGGGATGATCTTGGCGCGTACGTTTTTATAGGGTGGATTTATCAATACAGCTGAGAAGACTGCCAGTTTTAGCAACAGAATGGAACAAATGCTGTTAAAGATATTCTTTATTTCATTTCAGGATTCCCTACACCATTGCCGACGGGGACCCGCAGCATCCACTGAGCGAGGGTCGCTAATCATCTTTGAACTTTGAAGTATCGGGGGCATTGTTGATAAAGCCGGGTTTCTGAAACAGACAAGGAAAAGAACAATCTTATAGCGAGCTGTGGCAAATTATGTTATCGTCCCCTTATACAATGCAGAAAGCTATTATTCTCATCAGATGCCTCTTCCAACATGTGTTACTGTTTTTTTCTGTAACTTTTGGTGTAAATGTCTTGGATCAGTGCTCTCTGAAACAACAGTATAGTGCATGCTCGGAGGTATATATATTGGATTTCTGAGACTCTTCGTGTTTATTTTAAATTCCAGTTTTTGAGCACCATAGACTTCATTCAGTTTTTGTGATCTTTTGGTCACCGCTGTAAAAGAGGAGACAACGTCGCCTCTTTTCAGTCGTAGGTGTTGACTCCGGTGGTCTGTTTTGGATTGTAATCGCGACCCTTGCATCGATGATATTTATCAGTCGATTTCGTTGGAAAGGCATGCGCAATTATAGCGGTGCTGTATTTTCAGCAAAAGATAGCAAAGCACACAGTTGTGTCATTGCTGTTGATTTTTAGGGGCTGGTTCCACACAGTGTTACTCCTCTTTTGACAGTTTCACTCCAAGGTGCCATGACATGCATGGGACCACAGGCCTTGCTTCGTTTTGAGAGAATACTACGTAGGAGGTTTTGGATGGGACAAATATCTCGGCGCCAAAAGCCAACGCTGGCTTAACTAACCTCTGCCTGTAACCTGTATACTGACTAGGAAAGGGAAGGAAAAAACGAACCCGTGTTGACTCCCTTGAATTAAAGCTTTCAGCCTTTTATAGTTTTCTTATTCTCGTTACCTGTTCCCTAGCCACACCGGTTGTTGCCGGCTTCACTTTTAGGGCTTCCTTGGTTGTTTCTTTCTGTCTTCCCTTCCCGGTTACACCTACCATCTTCTTTTTTATTTTTTTGAAAAAGTAAAGATTTTGGGAAAATAATATAAAAAAAATATTTGAACACAGTGGCTTTTCTGAATATCATTTCTGTTTTAAAATTTATCTCTTTCTCAAATTAATTAATCTCTCGAATTTTTATAAAGATGCAATAACAAAAATAAAATAAAATTAAGATCTAGTAGCCAATAAATAAAAAAGAGATAGGTTAATGTTGCAGGTGAAAAAAAAAAGGGGATCAAAGACACATTTGGTGATATTTTTTATATTATTAAAAAGATATTAACGAGATAATTTTAATTATTTTTTAAAAATTTATTAAATAATATCGTAATTATTTCTAAATTAACCTCAAACTAAACCTTTAATGAATTACTATCCTTCTAAAATATGGTTGGAATTACTTGGTCAAGATTCTTTGTCTAATAGTACTGGATATGTTGAAAGTAGATTTTTATTGTATTCTCAATAACTCTTTTTTTTTTTTTTTTCTCTCTCATGGCAGGTCAATTTCTCTCATTTTTTACTTGCCATTGAATCTTAAAATATAGTTTGGGAACGCAGTTGTGTCACACTTTTTAAAGATTTTAATTTTTTACTAAAATAATATATTTTAATTGTTTTGATGTACTAATAATATATTAGATGTATTTTCAAATAAAAAACACTTTACAACATAATTTCAAACAATATCTAAATCTTATCTTTTCACCATTAAATCTTTCAACAATTACAAAATTATATTATTTTTTCTAATTATTTTTAACTTATGTTATTTTTCTAGTTTGATCTTTGTGGAATTGGTGGTTAATCAAAATGTAAAAAATTAAAATAAATTTGGAGTATGTTTGTTTTTTGAAAAGTGGTTATAAAAAATTATTTTTCAAACTTTTTTGTGTTTGTTTGCCATTAGAAAAATTAGTCAACAGAAAATACTTTCTAGTTAGCGGAAAATTTGACTTGATTTTCAGGAAATGTTTTCTTTTTATTTTGGACAGAAAACACTTTTTAAAAATTATAAAAAAATTAGAAATATCATATTATTTATCAATTTTGGTCCTCAAACTTTTAATTGTTATATATATTTTGTTTTGAATATTTTTTTAAAATTTCATTATCTAGAATTGAATTTTTATATTAATTTCAATCATTATTTTTATAATTATTATTTGCTTTTTATCTTGTTATTTTTTAAATAAATTTTTTTATTTATCAAATTTGGTCCTAATTCTTTTAATTGTTACTTATTGTATTTAAAATAATTTATGAAGTGTTAATTATTATTATTTTAATTTCTTCATCTTTTATTACTTTATTATTTTTTAGATTTGATCTCTATTATTTTGATTATTATTTATTTTATTTGAGATAGTTTGTGGAATTATATTTTTTTTAATATCATTCTTATTCAACTTTTTAATTTGTAAAATTTATTCCTTATTGTTTTAATAAACTTAAAAAAATTAAATATTAATAAGCTATTTTTTAGTTTATTTTTTATAACATAACTAAACATTAAAAAATATTTTATAATTTATTTTTTATTATACTATCAAACATTAAAAACTAATTTATTTTTTAAAAATTTATTTCCAGCAAACAAACAAACCTTGATTTAACCACTCGGTGACATAGTCAAATGAAATTTACAAGATACCTTGTTTAGATTCATCTTATGAGACTTAACCATGAATCGTGCACTTCTTTTATTAGAACCACTTCAATGAAATAATATTTAAGATTTCGAATTAAATAAATGAAATCGTACACATATTTTTAATCTCAACCTCGGATTAGCAATTAAAAAATTAGAAGAAAGGATAGGCCAGTGCTAAATCTCTTGGGAAGAAAGGATTGAGATTTCATAAATGGGCGGTGTGGGCACAGAATCCTCTTGTCATTGGGGCATTTTCTTTTGATTCCAGGCAGAAACCACCTGCAGAGTTAGTTTGTTAAGTATTGTATGGAAGTACGATAATGGTTATTTTTAAAAATAATTTTAGTTTAATAATATATTAAAAAAATATTATAAAAAAATATTCTTGTAACCCAAAAACAAACGTGAGATAAGTGTGTATCCACATAACGCACGTGTGAAGAAAGAAAAGTCCTCTCCTCTACTCAATCCCTTGCCTAAGGAACGCTTCCATCTTTTAATCAAAGCATAAAGCCAGGTTATTCAAATTATTTTTTTAACCTGTTAAACTAATTAAATTACAACAAATTAATTTTTACATAATTTAAAAAATTTTAACCATAGAATTTCTCGGCGATACTTTGATATTTTTCCCGTGTTAAAAAATTTAAAAAAATCTGACTGTCGAACAACATCTCAACACAATGCAGGCTAATAGTCTAGCATAGAATTCTAAAGTGAAAGTAGATTATTCGAGTCGAAAAAAATAAAAACATGAGATTTTATTTTATCTAACTTCAATTTAACTTGACCGTGACAGTGGGGGAAGAAGGATAATCTCTAGCCAAAACTCTGAAATTAAACAGTGTAGTTTACAAATTTAGAAAATTAAAAAACATTTTACAGTATAATGGAAGCACACCCTCTTCAGAGTTCAGACAACCGATCTCGCTGTTGGTCTTAACTTCCCAATCTTATTACAGTCCATCCTCCAGTAAATTGTATATTATATATTAAATAAAAGCAAAAGCTCTCTCATTGGCTCTCTCTCTCTCTCTCTCTGTCCCTTTTCCTCAACGGGGGGAGGACGTGACGAGTTGTATCAAAACAACCCCGTCGTTCCTCTCTGAAAACAACCAAAATTCTTGTAAATTGATTTCTATGATTTTTTTTTTATAGGTTAATAAAAGTGAAATTGAATAAAACTAATCCATCAAATTCAAACCTAACAATAATTAATTATTATTTTAAAAAATCATTCATTCCCCTCCCTTCGCTTCCAAACAGTAGCAGCAGCAGCAATAATAATAATAATAATAAAGAAAGTAAAGCAAAACCATAAAGCATTTCTTCCCCTCTCTCCTCCCTCGCTTTCCTCTCATTTCTCCCTCGCCAAATCTCCATTACATCCCTGTCTTTTCATCTTATCTTACAGCCCCCTCCTCTCTCCATCTCTTTAATCATCTATAGTTTGTATCAATTTCTTAGGGTCTTGAAGGAATGCAAAGAAACTCAAAATCAGTGGATTCGGAGGACGAGTTCGATATGCAAGACGCGGCTGCGGAATCGGCGGAGGATGATTTCTACAGCGGCGGAGAAGAAGATGGTTTCGACAGCGACGATGCTGACGTCGCAGATTATGAGTTCATCGATAACGACTCGGATGATTCCGATGATCTCATCTCTCATCGCCACCAGGTACTTTTTTACTCCTCATGGCAATTCTGTAATTACCATCCTGATTTGATGCCATTTGTTTGCCGTGTCCCTTTTTAAGCTTTGATCTGTGTAGTCTATCAGCAAAGTTCGATTCTTTCTGTCAAACCTGTAAATTCTAGGAATGAATTTTGTAATTCGTTTACTGATGAATTTGTTTAATGTGAAAGCAAAACTACACGGTTTTGAGTGAAGAAGATATACGGCAGCGACAGGATGATGATGTTATGGGAATAGCTACTGTGCTTTCCATTTCAAAGGTTGCGGCCATTATACTTCTCCGGTACTATAACTGGTAAGGCAGTAATTGACATGGTTTCATATTGGATGTTACGGTCTTTTGTTTGTTTGAATGAATAAAATGAGCCTTTCTGGCCTGTGGGTTTACATCTTAGCGAAGAATATTTGTATTCATCTGGATTTACAGGAATGTGAGTAAAGTGCATGATGAATGGTTTGCGGATGAGGAAAAGGTTCGAAAGGCTGTTGGTTTACTGGAGAAACCGGTTGTTCCATTTCCTGATGGTAGAGAAGTATGCAGTTTATGTTTGCTTGCTTGCTTTCTTTAATTATTCTTTTTTTGTGAATTTGATGCGATGAATGCTCCTGCTTTGACAGATGACTTGTGGGATTTGTTTTGAAACTTATCCTTCTGATAGATTGCTTGCTGCTGCTTGTGGTCATCCGTTTTGCAATTCATGCTGGGCAGGTGTGTTGTGTCCCGAGAACATCAAAGCCTCATCTCTGTTAGTTTTGTAGTAAGGTTATCTTGAATAATGCTTTGACATTTTATTATTCTTGTATTCCTGCCTTAATAATTGATATGTTTGTGAAACTATTGTGATTTTTCATAAAAGACGTGTCTGGTTTCCTTTAACATCATAAAAAAAAATGTATTACCTTTGAAGTATCTTTTACGTTGTTGATTTCATTGTTTGTTTTGTTCTGATCATTTTAGTGAGTCAAAAATATTTCCCAGCTGAAAGTTTATTTAACAAAATTAAAACTATTTGGTTTAGGGCTTTGAATTGTATAGTGGCATTCCTAATGGCAATAGATGCGGGGGTGCAGAACAGCTTTTTTTATTTGTTTTTTCTGGTCCAGCTGAATTCCTTGTTAGAGATATTTGTAAATAATTTCCCAATCAGTTTGGAAGTCATGGTGGAGGTGTGTTATCTCGAACGTGTCAGCTGGAGTTCATCATTAATTCAAGGGCAGTCTCTTACTCTTGTCAGGAGCTGATTAATGAATTCCTTATTTCTCCTCTATTATTGTTCTTTTTTTCATCATTGTGGGAAATAAGGTACAAAAAAGTGCTATTATGTGAACAAGTAGAGGTTACACTGTTTGAGCATCTTCTTCTAAATGAGGATGAGGTGTACTCATCATTACCAAGTGGTTATGAAGTTTGCTATATATCTATTATGCTTACAGTTGTGCCCACCACAAATGGAGAAACTGTGGCTGTCAAGTTGTTCAATATAGGGTAGAATTGCTCCTTCTTCATTAGAAAGAAAGAAGAGTACACCAAAATGTGCGTGCTGCACCGAATGCTGGTGGTTGTTTTACTTCTTTTGATATAAAATATACTGTCAAGGAGGAAGGGATAACTCCAAAACGAAGTATATTAGTGAGAGGTCTAGAGAAAAATCTCTTCCATTAGCAGTAGTCATTATAGTTATGTCAAAATGTAGTTTTTGAAGTCTATATGGGCATTGGGAAGAAAGTTAACATGTGAGAATTATAATGGTTCTATTGTTTATTAGCTGGTTTGCGTTATTGATTCATAAAGATTCCAAAGTTCATATGTAAATGCTTTTGATCTAAAAAGATTCCAAAGTTCATGTGTAAACGGAGGCAACATAAGAAAGACAGCAAATATAAGAACACAAAATTATACTGAAAAGGGATTACATGAAAACCCTAATTCAAAATTTTATTACTAAATATTTTCTTTTTAAATAGTCTTCTAAAATACAAGCTAAATAACCTATTTATACTATGAAAAAAATCCTAAACTAACCTGAAAAAAATATTATAAGAGGTCTAAACCAAATAAGAAAAAAAATGGCAAGTTAACTAGGAAAATATTGCAAATTTCAAGTAGTAACTTCTAGTCATTATCGGAAGACCTTTTTGATCTTTGATTGTTGTGAAATTTTAACGCCATAGGTAAAGTGCCTCTAAAATCTTTTAGCAAAATTTCAACCTAATCTAACAGTTGGATCAAAAGTCATGCTCAATAATTTAATGTTGTGTATTCATTTTTTTTTCTTGCACCAGTCTCCCTGGGTTGGAGAGAACTCATCCTTAAGTTAAAATTACTCTTGCCTTGATTTCTTGGATATCCAATTAAGATTTTTCAACCTTTCACCTGCCTAACCTTTTCGTTAGAAACATCATACCTACAAACAACATGCTCATCCTCCCAAACAATGAAAGTAGTCTTAGAGTTACGTTGAAGACCTTGTGCAACAACTCTTGTAGTAGCCTTTTCAAACTCTGACTCAAAATTCAGCATAACTTTCTTGACCTTGACAACAACTAAGATGTTTGCTGCTGGCAACACACCTTTGTTGACAACTCCAAATCCACCTTAAAATTCTTCAAACATCAACTTTTGACACTTAATTGTTAGTGATGACTAATAACTTGGTTCATTGATTTCTTTGTGGCTGAAAATTTCTAATACTGAAATATCCTAAAAGTTAACTCCAAAACACTCTTTTGGAGTATCAAATAATTCTTCACTTTCACGAGAGAATCATTGTAGATCCCAATTTACATAGCTTTTAGGATTTCAGCAACCCGCAAGCTTAGTGACATCTTGAGCTTCTTCTTCATCAAATTTTGGTGGTTGATTCCAATCCACACAAGAATTAGAATCATAAATGTTTTTAGGGTCAATGTCATATTCATCCTAATAAAGAAGTTCCCTCCTTTGCTTATGCCCTTGAAACGGGTTCTCAAAATTAGTCATGTTTCTGTGACCACTCTTCTCATGATCCTCCAATATTCTTTTCTTCATCTTTGCTAATTGATGTGATGATTCTTCAACTTGCCTTTGCATGTTTATTACCTTTGACAAATTAATTTTGTAACTTGTCTTTGTATGTTATATCACCAACTCTTGAACATTTCACTCTTGAGAGGAACCTCTTATCCGAACATGTTTTGCTCAACAACCTTTTCCAACCATGGTTATTTAGTAGGACACAACAAACAAAATAACTTGAGATTATAGCACACATCAAGCAATAACCTGAGATTGTTGGGCTTTAATACTAATTGGCATAGATGGAAGTAACACAAGAAAGACAACAAGAACGACAACACAAAATACAAGCTAAATAACCTTATTTATACTACGAAAAACATCCTAAACAAAGCTGGAAAAATAATAAAAGAATTCTAAACCAAATAGGAAAAAAAAAAATCCTAATTCAATTAGGAAAATATTGCAAATCCTGAATGGTAACTTCCGGTCATCTGCCACTTCTGCGAAATTTTAATTCCATAGGTAAAAATGCCTCTAGACTTTTCTAGCAAAATTTCGGCCCGATTCAGCAGTTGTATTAAAAGTTATGTCCAATAATATAAAGTTGATTAGGAAAAAATCTCATCAATTGCTGGGTAGGAAAAATGGAAATTGCTTCTTTGTGGATGCTGATGAAACCGTGTAAGTAATGGCAGGGAAGATTGCTTTTCTAGCCTATGTTGTTGAAGAGAAGCAATTTTCACCTGGACATTGATAGCTTCATTGTGCTGCATGCCAGAACTCATTGCAACATTTTAAATAATTATGTTTTGCTTTAACCCTTATACTTACATTCTTGTCCTTTTTTTCTTTGATTTTTCCTTTCTAGGTTACATCAGCACAGCCATTAATGATGGTCCTGGATGTTTGATGTTGCGGTGTCCTGATCCATCTTGTGATGCTGCTATCGGTCACGATATGATTAATTTATTGACTTCTGATGAAGACAGGGAGAAACATTCTCGTTATTTCATAAGATCTTATATTGAGGACAATAGAAAGGTACTTCATTCTAAAATGTGCATGTGCAGGGATTTTTTTTCTTTCATATCAAATTAATACTTTTGACCTCACTTTTAACTTTAGTGATGCTAAGTGCAAAAGAGTAAAGATTAGCTGTGATCATAAGCTAAAGCATAAGATTTTTTTTTTTTGTAGTAATCTATAAACATCAAAATTATAAATTTTCTACTTGTATAATTAACACAATCCATAATCACTTCTTTTTCTTTACCAGCATTTGGTGTGCATACTATTTTCTGACTATTGAACTATTAGGATGGTGACTTTGCTTAGGGACCAGTGAGCAAAGACTTTTTCTTTGCTCCAAGCATGCCTTACATTGAGCTTTCTTGTTAATCCTAATTTAGGAAGTAAGACCAAGACTCCCTGCCTAATCAGGGTTTGGAAATTTGTACTTCTAGGATTCAGCTAAGTGAGGAACTGAAGCAGGGTTCAGGGTTTGATTTGGCAGGCTCCACCTTAGATTTAGACCTTAATTCCATGTTCATTATTTTTTAATTTGTTTCTCTTTGAGCTTAGTGTTGTCTGAATCAGTCCCACAATAAAATGATACTTTGACAGTCATCTTTTTAGTGAATCATGACAGCCTATGAAACCAGGAAAAATTGGCCTGTTTATTGTGAACTTTCTTCTTCTTCTTCCTTTTTTGCAGTGTAATCGATATTATTTGGGTTATTTTGTAGACCAAATGGTGCCCTGCTCCTGGCTGTGATTATGCTGTGGATTTTGTTGTTGGCAGTGGGAGCTATGATGTTACCTGCCGCTGTGCATACAGCTTCTGCTGGAATGTGAGTCTCTTCAAGTTTTCAAGGATCTCAGTTTTTCTTGCAGTTCTCTGAGAAACATTATTTTCATAATAGTTGCGCTTTTGTGAAATCCTGATAATTCATTTTCTTGTTATTGTATCTCATATGGACTTCATTTTGCAGTGTACTGAGGAAGCTCACAGACCTGTTGATTGTGGTACTGTGGCCAAGTGGATACTGAAGAACAGTGCTGAGTCTGAAAATATGAACTGGTATGGAACATGAGAACAACATCTAGAACTATTCTTCTTCAATCATGTGTTGTTTTGGCAGCTGAAGAATATCAATGAAGGACAATAAAGGGAATGTAATTTAGGGCTTGGGATGTTGGACTGGAATAGCTATCGTGGTTCTGAAGATTATGGCCATATCTGCACATATTTTACCTAGCTCATTCTTGAGCTGCTTTGAAAACTAGTACTCGTGATAGGAAGTTGATCTTGTGATAGACTTTTATTGATGTGGAAAAGTTAGTATATGAATTTGTAGTCAACTGAGCTGTATACAATAGAAATAATTCGTGCTGTAATCCATGCTGCATGTGATGTTTTGCTTGTAAGGTTCTGGGCAGATTGTAGGCAGAAAGAGTCTCCATGTCTCCGGTTAATGGCTTTAGGGATAAGATAGGGACCAAAAGCAGAAACCCTTAAAAGTGCAAAATCATTGTGATTTGTATCGTTTCCCAATAAATATCTGTTCCTAACTACAGTTAAGTTTGTTGATGGATTATGTGAGGAGAGTGGAATTATCATTTAATTTATCAGATAAATCTTATTTCTACATTGTCAATTAACTTAGCAACTATCAAGTTTGGAGGATACAGATTCATTGTTTACCCATGTAGCCTCATTGGAGGATACAGTTTTTCGGTGCATTGTAAGCACATGAGCAGATGCTTGCTTATCAGTAAATATGATTTGTGTGATGCTCTACTTGCCTTTGTACAAAATAATAATTAATTCCCCAGGAAGTCTTCTGCTCTGTTCTCAAAACTTCTCTATTCCCTAACGGTAAATTATATTTTCATTGAATTTCAGGATATTGGCTAACTCCAAGCCTTGCCCGAAGTGCAAGCGACCAATTGAGAAAAATCAAGGATGTATGCATATTACATGCACACCACCTTGCAAATTTGAATTTTGTTGGTAAGCTAGCACACAAGTTGTGCTCTTGCTCTCAACCAGGCAATCCTATCTTGTATGCCTTGGCAACATCAGAATTTTTTTGATACAGAATTACACTATGAATAAGCGATCCACATCCCCATTCTTTTACTTAAATTTGGAATTCTCTCCAGAACAGGTTTGATTCTATAGTGCATCTTCTTAATAACACTGTCAACTCAACAAGAGCTCGGCTTATATGAGCTAAATGCCTTAATCCATGTTTGTTTTAAACATCCTCTGTGCTTTCTTCTCCATAAAGAAAAAAGAAAGAAGAGAAGAAAAACAAGCTATTTTTCTGTGCATTTCGAAGCATATACTCATTTTATTACATGTGATTGCAGGCTTTGCCTTGGTGCATGGTCAGATCATGGAGAGAGGACAGGTGGTTTTTATGCATGTAACCGTTATGAGACTGCAAAGCAAGAGGGAGTGGTATATTGATTTTTTTCAGACATTTTTGTTTCTTATGCTTCTTGCATAGTGTTGTATAATTGTTTTGTATTGGTTCTTCTGGTTGCAGTATGACGAGGCTGAGAAGCGAAGAGAAATGGCCAAGAACTCTCTAGAGAGATACACACATTATTATGAAAGATGGGCAACCAATCAATCAGTAAGTACAAACAGCTGACCTTTTTGCTTGTAAAGTTAATCCTTGTATGTTATTGACTTATCTCTCTGTTATCAATCGATCTTCAGATCATTTGTTTGGCACATATTGATAAAAAAATATTTCTGGAAAGCACTGTATAAACGTTATGTGATATTCTTAGAGACAACTTTTTGTGATCAGGACCCTAAACTTTTAGGCTGAAGTTTGGCCATCAAAACTGGTTCATTATGAGGAAACATGAACTTTGGGAGAAATATAAAACTGAGGAATAGATATAGAGGCTTGAAGTTTGGGATGTGCTAGATTTTAGATCTTTGTTTGAGAACCCTAGTTAGCCTCCTGTGTTTGATCAAAAGGTCAATTTATGGTGCGTTCTATTGTCCGGCAACTCCAAGAATGACAACTCAGGTGGGGAAGAGATTGAAGATCTAGCAGCTGCACAAATTTGTTGTGTTGCTGCTTATACAGTAAAGTGCAGCTGGAGGAACCAATGGCTGACTGTGGCAGTATGTACTTGGATGGTGCAGTTTATAATAATAAGACCAACACCCTTAAAGATGAATGTGCCCCTCTAGGCACAAGTCATTTTACCTAGGGTGCTAGGCATCAAAAGGTGCTCAGCTGAGCAATGCTATGCCCAACCAAAGCAGCACTTGAATGTTCACAGTTAGTTTTTAAAATGTATTGAATGGGTCATATAGCTACTGTTTTCTTACTCTGTAATGCTATGAATTCTGTCGCAGTATTTCTTTTGAATAATATTCTGCCAGTAACTGAATTCCTAATCTTGCTTGACATGTTACTGCTATGAATCCATGGCTCTGAACTTCTCTTTCTTCCTTGCAGTCTCGGCAAAAGGCATTGGCAGACCTACAGCAAATGCAAAATGTACATGTAAGCACTACTTGCTGTCAACTATGTATGGCAGCTATCCTGTCATGGTTGATTCTTTGAAAGTAATTTTTGCTGAAAAGGCATATCATATAGATTAGCGCTTATTTTCCTAAAGTTGCATTGGCTAATGTCAAGCAAGCAATTGTGGTAGCAACCCGGAAACTTGAAACCGTAAAACTATTATTTCGTTGTTGGAAATTTCTGTGGGTTATTGCACACCCAGCTAGAGACCAGGCCTGTGGAATAATTACAGATTTATTCTAGAATCAATTTTTTAATCAAAGATGACTGCAGTCTTCACTGTCTTAAGTAATTTGAAATCAATCTTATTCTCTTTAGGGAACAGAAAGTATTCATGGGTGCATACAAGCATATTATATGCACACTCTTGTAATTTTCAGAGAGTGATGATTTTGTTTTTTGGTAGCTTGAGAAGCTGAGTGACATACAGTGCCAACCTGAGTCACAGCTGAAGTTCATAATAGAGGCCTGGCTACAGGTAAGCACTCCTATATGAACATAATATGTCCATTTCTGTTATTGTAAATTCACGATACACATTCATATGTAAGGCATTCGATATGTGGATTAGGATATTACAATTTGGCATACATGAGAACCCTTTGCAAGGATATATGATATTTTGGAGTTTGAGGATTTTTTTATGTGATTTTTGTTTCATGTAAATGGATGGCATCCCTTAATGCCTTTATTAGTGGATTTGTTTTTTCATTATGTTCATGTATGTATTTCTTCTCAAGTAATGCTTAGGCATATTTGAACTTCTTACTAAAACTCACTTGACAAAATGGTGTTTATCGTACAGTAATGTTTTCAAATTATGGGATGCAAATCTTTTCACATATAATGACACAATCATAATTATGGAATGGAGTGGTTGATGTGATGCGGGACAATAAATAATAAGAGTTAAAGTAAGAAAAGAAAGAAGTTTTTAGAGAAGAAGTTGAGATGTGAGAGCAAATAAAGAGAAGAATGGGGATTGGAGATATGCAAAACCTGCAAATTTTTCATTAATCATCAAAACTGTCTAATATTTAGAAAAGTAGGATATAAATACTAAAACCCTAACTACAACAAGCATTTAGGCTTATGGCCCACTAAATAAAATACCCAACAATAATTAAATTAAACCCAACAAATAAAATCAATTTAATAAACCTCAAGTAAAAGTTCATATAAATTAAACCTAAAAACATAAGCTAAAGCCTAATTTCTCAATAATTTAAGCTATCATCCATCATCTATGATCATACGAATGCGTAAACAATGTTTCCGGTTTGGTGTCCCCACCACAATGTAATCACAAAATGCTGTGTCATTTAGTGAAAGACTTTTAGTTAAAGTATCTCTAGTATTTTTCTTGTTTGTTTGTTTTTGTGTGTAATATTTATTTTATTTGTTTTGTCTGTCCACAGATAGTTGAATGTAGGCGAGTTCTAAAATGGACTTATGCCTATGGATATTATTTACCTGAGCATGAACATGCCAAGAGGATGTTCTTTGAGTATGTGCAAGGTAGGTAATTTCTTGCAATTCAATGCAGATAGTTCAATCATTTTGTGTTTTGATCAACACCATTTACACAGGTGAGGCTGAGTCTGGATTGGAGCGACTTCATCAATGTGCAGAGAAGGAGCTCCAAATTTACCTAAATGCAGAGGGCCCGTCAAAAGATTTTAACGAGTTCCGCACAAAACTTGCTGGGTTGACCAGGTACTTCTTAAATATACACTGATTACATCATTAGAAACACAGTTTTCTATCTGGATAATTTAGCCCAAATCAGAAGCTGCAGGAATCAGTCTCAGTTCTCTTGGAAAAGAGGGGCTGGGAAGTTACTTAAATTGTCTGTCTTTCTGCCGTCCTTTGAATTTTCAAGTTAATAGGTTTTTTTGTTATTTTTTTATGTGAAGTGTCACACGGAACTACTTTGAGAATTTAGTCCGGGCTTTAGAGAATGGTCTATCAGATGTGAATTCCCATGGTACATGCAGCAGAACAGCAAGCTCGAAGAGCTTGGGAGGTGGTAGCAGTAGGGCAAGAACTGGTAGAGGCAAGGGCTCAACATCTAGGTCAAGTGGACCTAGTAGAAATATTGATGACCCAGGCCACTGGTCCTGTGAACATTGCACCTTTGCAAATATTAAGCCGACCACCATTTGTGCAATGTGCCAGCAACGACGGTAAATCTCATTTCGTACATCAATTGGCCACCCGGATGAATCACCAGTTTGGCCTCTTTGGCTGTCCAGTTGTAACAAGGCCGTTAAGAACATTGCCAGGGAGTGCAAAAAGGGCTTTTTAAATCTCTTGGCCTGCAAAACCTGAACTGCAACAACAGAGGTGAACAGAAACAGAAGGTAAGGGTGAGAAAGGGACAGGAAACGCTTCTCGATGTTTGTTGTCTTGTTTCTGGCATCAGCTGTATATAGTTCCTACATCACTTCCATGTTAACTTAAAAGAGTATGATGAATCAGGATCCATGCAAGTGCATTCGGTCATATGATGATCTATCAATTTTACTAGTAGCTGTTTCTGGTGCTCTCAAGCTTTCAACTGTATTTTACGAGTAAAAACCTACCTGGGTACAATGGGCTTGCATTGCTCCAGCTAGAATGAAATAAATGTTGTACCATCTACCTTGACTTTATCTGCCAGATGAACAGCCCTAATGTGTAGCATTTATCTGCTTAATAGACATTTTACCTTCTGGAATTCTGTCCATTCCTTTCCCCAGTCTTTTTCAATAACTTGATGCGGCAGGCCTCTCTTTTTTGTCTTTCAATTTGTATGACTCCATCTAATCCGATGGCTTAAAGCCATTGGTGACATGAAAAATTTTTGTTAAGGAAAAATAAAGTGCTTCTGCTCATGTGCAATTCATTCGCAGAAAATAAACCAAGTTCGACTAAAGTCATGGCAGGAAAACAAGAAGCATGCTTTGTCTGGTCGATCAAATCTTGCCCGCAGATAATTCTTCTACAGATTAGGGTGGATGCGAATGTAACAATCAGATAGTAATTTATCTTGTTATTGAGCTGGGAAAGACGAGGACTTGAACAAAACTAGCACAGAAAATAGCATGAGATGCAGACAGGGAATTTTGAAGATCAATATCGAAGCTTGTCAAAGGATTGCCATGTTCATGTTCTAGAAGATGATTTAAAAGGCTCCACCAACCTTGAATGAAGTGGAAAAAACCGCGCACCACAATTCATGACTCCAGACTACAAGCTAATTTCGTCTAAACAATTAACAAAATAAGGGTATTGTAGGTAGCAAAAGACCTTGCTACCACCATCCACTAAAATTCAACCCCATATGTAAATTAATACATAAAAAATATACATATAACAGTACAATATAGCATCAGCAAGACATTGAGCTTGTTAACATATACCATCACATACACTTAACTCCAAAACACTGAATCCAAGCTAAAGCCTAAAAATATCTCGGGCCACCATAATATTGGGTTCATTTGTCATTTTTTTCTCTTTTTTCAAGAAAGAAAGAAGCACTCTGCAAAAAAGCAAATAAACAGCCAACATATTCACACCTCGGAAAGCTACAATTTAACAGAACAGGTACCAAAACTTATTGGTCATGTCCAACTCCAAGAATCCACTGTGCAAGATGAGTCAAATATGGCTCTGCTTGGGAACTATTGCTCAAGATTGGTCCCAGACTCTGAAGCTCAGCATTGAATTCCCTCTCAAATTTGCTACAAAAATATGATGGTGAATGAGTTTTTTTTTGGTGTGTGTGAGCGTGTCTATTGAATAGCCAATCAGCAAGACTTACAGTATAGAATCAGTGACGCTTGTGTTTTCAGTTGTCATTGTTAGCATACGAGATGGGCGGCTTGATTTGGAATGTTCCTCTAGCTTTGGAATGCCGATGGAAGATGATATCAACCACTGAGTTGCAGCTGCATACTGCAAGCATAGGGATTGCAGCCTCTCCACCTTCTGCAATCAGAAATTCCATTAGTAAGAATAAACCGAAAGGATGAATGAGTGAAATAAAAAAGCAATAACTAGGCATTGCCCTTCCAAAAGAGTGCCAGCATATTCATGCTTCATTATATAGTTTTCATCTGTTAACAGACAGTCTTGTGTATTGCTTCCAGCCTGATGCTCATCCTATTGGAACTAAAATGAGATCCCAAATCAGTGATGTCATTAAATTTAGCGAATGACATTCCAGACATGCAAAAACTCTATTGCAGTGGTACAAGTTAAGCTTCAATATTCACTATTCAGAGGACACGTGGACAAGATAAAGACAGGGAAAAGGATAAATTGTGTTTACTATCAGGACCTATTGATAGAAGAGCTGCAACCAAAGAGGATTTTTAGCTCTCTGAATCACAGGAAATTCTTATCAAGTCAGGGACACTAGTGCCTTCGAACCACAGATTTGCTATGAGGCTAAAGTAGATTGTCATTGGTCAAAGAAATGATGGATACATTCTTTTTCTCAGGATAATAAAATAAGATTTTGAACAAGCCAATCTGAAGTCCATCCTGCTTTAGAAAAGAAAAGAATTCCTCTAAACAACAACTCCTGTTCTCTCTCGTTTCATTTGAAAGTAAGCAGGAAATTGTTCCTGAAAAAAGTGGAGTTTTGCTGGTAAGTTGTAATCATTTTCATCATATTTCTCCCAAGTTTGTCCCTCATTCTCTCCATTCTCTTCCCTTTCTTGATTTTCCTTCCCAACACCCAAATTCATTACTGATCCAGTGGTTTACCTTAAATAGACTTACTAGTTTTAGAAAATAAAAAATAAGATGATGAAAATGAAAATGAACCTTGAGCAGTTCGGGTAAAAGAAGCAGACATTCTCTCAGGCACTTGTCGAGGAAAAGATCATGATATTGAATAACCTGTTGCATAAAGAACATAGTAAGATATATAGAAGAGTTCACAGACTCAAAACTTAGGTGGAACACTTCCATATCTGTTGAAATGAAGTACATGCGTTAAAAGCATAAAACAGTTGCTTGATATTGGATATCTTGAGTACATTAAAACCCAGCAAGTTAGTGCTGGCTGTACCTCATCTATGCTTTTGGCCGTCTGAAGTCTATTGTGCATCACATGCCAGTTAGGTTCAAGAACCTGAAAACAGATGTTTTAGTACTGCTATCAAAAACCATAAGCAAACTTGTAGATTTCAAAATACTAGGGAGAAAAGGAAAAATAAATTGCAAATTAAAAAAAAGGTAGATTGAAGGATGCAGTCATTGATCAGATTATTATTTTTCATTCATTTTTCTTTAATGGGCAATGATAAAATTAAACCTCAAACCCTTCAATTTTCATGATTCTTTTGAACTTCATCAGGTCAGAAACAGTTGTGCAGATTCTCATATTCTTTTATCATTAATATCAACTGCAAGAGCATGTACACTGTAAGTTCTGAGACAGACAACAATGGTACTGCTCAGCTGCAAGCTCTTTAGGAGAGAGAAAAATCCATTTTATTTGACATGAAGGAATAATTTCAGGTTCAATAACATGTCCAAATATAAGTAGGCAACTTATAACCATGTCATGTGAGCCACATGAAGATCAGTCACCTTAGGGAACAACAAAACATTTGAGTAACATTAGAGAAATGAAATACCAGGAAACAGGAAAAAACAGAAGCTAGGGAAAAAAATCAAGTTTAAACTTAGTATGCAATAACTCAGCAAAACAAGTTCAAAAGATTTATGCCTAGGATAATACAGTAAACATGCCTCAAATGTTAGATAGTGAAGAAGGCTGTTAATGAATTTCAGCATACTGCGACAGATTAGAGATGATCTAGAGATCGCGGTTCCATGCATATTAAGTGCACGAACTCCCTGCAAGGCATATTGGAAATGGATTAGAAGCACAAAACGATGTAGATAAAGTCTAGCTACTCTAAATGATACAATCTAGCCCATACTTGATGCACTTGCCAAGCTCCGCAAAGCTGGCGGTCTACATGTTTACAGCGAAACAGAAAGCGGAAAATCAACTGATATTTTGCCAGGGCTTTTCTTGAGATAACAATAGATAATGGCCATTCAACCTGAACAACATGAACAGGCTCAATAATTACAAGATATTTTAGATAAGAAAATTGTGGTCAGGATATATAGTGATTAAGAGTGGAAAATATCAACAAAGCAAAGGTATGAACAATTTGAGAAAAAGAAAAGTTACAAAGAACTGCCATTTATAATCTCCAACAAGAAACTTCAAGGGCATGTCAAAGAGCAGACCTTGTAACTCAATGAAAATGTCTCAAGACCAGTAATGTTCAGTGGCTCTGCTAGATCATTACCATCGGAAACAGTCCTCACTTCAAGATCTTTCAGGGTGCTCAATCTTTTAAGCAAGGATGATCTTTCCTGTAAGCAAAAGGTTGTAATAACAGATAGTGTAATTTCAAATTTGCAAGTTTCACCTCTTAAAAGAAAAAGGGATCAACCTACTTACCACACAGCAAGTCAAGTCCTCATGACATGGATCTACTGCAGCTGCTGTGGTGCGCAGAGCAAGGTCTAACAGCGACTAAGCAACCAAAGAGCATGCTTTCAGATATCATTGTTATATTTAGCTAAATAATTCTTCTGCAGGTTGCATGCTTTCAGATATCATTGTTATACTTAGCTAAATAATTCTTCTGCAGGTTACATTTCATTTTAACAAAAATATAAAAGGATGAAACCTGTAACTTCTCCACTGAAATCTCATCAAACTTTTTTGTGAGCTCATCCCTAGCTATATCCATAAAATGCACCAAAAAGTCACCCTGAAATTATTCAATTAGGTTAATACAGAAGAAATTGAAATAAGAACCAATCCTCAATATATTAAGCAAAAGAAATTGCTTATATGGGAAGGCAACCCCACCCCACTCCCATCAAACAAAAAAATTGGGGATGAAAAAGTAGGTAAAAAAGGACACATATCAAATTCACCTACATACTGAGAAGTGCAATAGAAAGCCTGTTAAGCACATAGACAAGTAAATGGTCCCCTAAAGTAGATCCTCTCATTTCATGACAGCGACCATTTAACAAGGAAGAGCTAGTTTGAAAGATAACAATTTGATCTGCACCTGGGCACTCTCAAATCACTTGGTACCCCACTCTCAAATCACTATCTTTGAAAATCTAGGTCTGAAGACCAAGCATGCTCCTCACTCAGGGCTTAAAAACCTCATGCTATGTTGCATGCTTGACCTTGACAAATCAAACAGATGCCTGAGAACCAAGCGTGCCAACCGTTCATCTAACAAGCACGGCACATTAAAATTTTTATTGAAAAGGTGCTATAAATTTGCAAATAAAAACCACCAAAAAGTGATTCCCAATCTTATGTGACAGGGAAAAGAAAGTAAAGAAAAGGTTAGCCTTGAGTGGCCACCTCACTATACACAAACAAGTAGATATTAACCAGTTTCACAAACAACCCACTGAAAGCATAGAATAAATCTCAACAATGGTTTAATGGCAGTCAACTAATCAGAAACTAAAAGTACCTGATCAAGAAGAAGGTAGTGCTTAATAGACCGCAGCTTTCCCATTAGATCATACTGCAGCAAAGAAGATAAAAACCCAAGAGAAGAACATTTTATTATAGGAACCTTGGCACCACGGAAAACAATTTCAATTTCCATGGATGATAATATAAGCAGAACATAAAGTCACTCAAGTATATAGATGAAAATTATCATGCCG